AAAAGACTCTTATTAATGTATCCACTTTAGATTGGAGTGTACAGAAACACCGGTCCCATGGATGAGCCCAAGATTCTTTTGCTGCACTTGCTTGAAGAGACATGTCTTCATTTGTCCACCCAGCAGCAGAGACCTTATTTCACCCCAGTGTTCGAACTTGATATCCACTCAAACAACCTTGGGGAAGGTTTGCGAAGGTATGGCTTGTACAGTAACCCTTCAGCTCATCCCAGCCCCGATTCTCATCCCTTGTTTGCTCTCCTATCTGCCTGTGATCTTTCCAAGTACCTCAGTCCAAAGACTTCGAATAGTCGACCACGACCGCACCGAGTAGGTCCCTCAAAGCGCGCGGAACACCACAGACTCACGCGGCCCCGAATCTGTGCGTATCATGCCAGGCAGTTAGGTACCTTACAGATCATGGTGTCTCTCTCTCTCTCTCTCTAGTCTGAACGGACTTGATGGGGCCTTGGAAAAGCACATGGCAGGTGCCGAAATCGCTGAGATCGCATGTCTCTTAAGTTTCCCTTAAAATCTAGAAACCAAATCATTAGTGCGAGTGCTTCTTCAATAAGGAAGCGCGAGCTATCCTGCGTCCAAGGTAGTAGCGTTCTTGTAGCTACTAGCTACCTCTAGCTACTACCTCCTAGCGGCTAAGGTTCATTTCAAAGATCCGACGGGTTTTCGGCGATAAGGTTCACTGCTGAGCTCTCCCACTCCCTCTCAATCAGCTTTTCGATCCGCTGCTTGATGAGCGTTGGTGATGGCTGGAACCGAGCGGTCAAGTGCCTTGTCACCTGGCAGATCGTTTGGTCGCTCCAGTTCAATCAGCTCAATCCAATCGGTGCCGGCTTTGTGCTCCACATCTGTGCCCCCGGCTTCACCCGAGCCGATGCATATGTTGAGAGTCGATGAGAGTTCTTGCTGGCCAATGATCCAAAGAAGAAAAAATATGAACGGATGACAGTTACAGGCAAATGCTCAAGACTCCAGAATCAGTGCTAGTAAGGAGAAGGCGCATGCCTCTGCGGTTTATATCTACATTACTAACTATCTCAGTATGCACACACGTATGTCACGTCATTGTCTGCGACATGCTAAAGTTGATTGAGATGTGATTCGGTTCTATAGACAAACGTGTCTTTTCATGCAGAATAGCTAAATTGCATGTGACTCACAAAATATGGAATTGGAAACTAGTGCTATTTGTTCTACCACCCTTCCCAAGTGGGTTCACTGTTGAATTCCGGAGACAACACAAAGCATCTATAGTCATACATGCACATGCTGTTTGCAACTCTATCTCTGCAACGACTATATCATATATCTATTTGCATCAGATTGTATATTCCTATACACATGTATGGTATGACAAAAATAAGGATTCTTGACTGAATTCAGATTTTTGACTGGTTTTCCGTGAACCAGGATATCCTTGACTTTTTCTTACCCACGGCCCACGGCCCTTCCTGGTAGTCTCCCCTTTCAAAAGAGTGTCGTAACCAACCTACTCAGGAGTACTGCTGACCAGCGTCGCGAATACAAACCCAATCGTAACTAGTAGCCATGCAGCCATGCAGTGTGACACTGATGAAGGTACTGTGTTGGTTTTGTCGAGAATTGGTCGACCAGAAGGTAAATTTGTGTGGTTGGAAATTATCCAACGCGATTCAAAGGATAGAAATTCAAGGAAAACCAATGAAAACCAGATTCCCTACCCTTCCGAGTAGAATTAGAAGAATGGCGTGCTACTTTTCTGCACTGGGGAGTGCTTTCGTAACCTTCACTCCGAAATCGGTTGTTTCTGCAGCCTCCATCACGAGCTGGTTGTGCTCCTGATTTCGGATGAACAAGCAAGAAGCATACTAACCTCGACCAGGAAAGACCTTCAGACTCAAGTAAAGGATCAGATTCAACAGAAGGGGCCACCTCGGGGTATGAACAAATACATGAAAGCATTTAAACCTGTGAGGAAACCGCTGAAAGAGTTGTTGCCTCGCCAAATGCGCTGCTTCACAAATATAAACATTGAACCCACCAATAGCAATCAATACTAGTAGCGAGCAATCGCTGTTTCACCATAAAACTGCGATCGCTATCCAAGTGCGTTCGGCTGGACATTGGATGTTGGCACCAAGACCAGCGCAGTGTCTCTCTCTCTGATGCAGACCCAACGAAAGGAGAAGTTTGCGCCTGTTGGGTATCCGGATGGTGGCTTTCTTGGCAAAACTGAATGATCCAACGAACGAATTCCTGGGGACCATCATATTCACCCTCTGGACCATGGAGAAGCCACCGGCATCATCCTCCCGAAACAGAAAAGCACTAGCAACTAGCCTTTCTCAAGGTGAGGACACCCCGCCTGACCGCCTGAACGCAAAGAACCACCTTAAGCAATTTCTTTGTTGCCACGAGTTGGGAGAAGACCTCCCCAAAAAGATCTCAAGCAAAAGCCCATCAGAATCATGAACCATCAAAGAAGGTTCACTTGCACATGAAGCTCGGCACACTGACCCCAAGCACATCGGCACACGGAGAACTCGACCGCATCAGCTCCAGTGTCTTGCGACTTTTCATGACTCGCACCACGACCGCCTGGAGAGAGGCGGAGGACAACTCTCTGCCGCTGAATTTGAATCGCAAAAACCTGTTATTCCTTGGTGTAGGATGGTGTAGGCAAGTATATAGATGAAGAATGAGACTGCAATATGAGACCTGGCAGCTTTCACCCAGGATTACTGTAATAACTCCAGCACTAAGAAGTACTGCAGACTGAAAGCCAAATCTGGATTCCTGGATGGATCTTTTGTAGAAGCATCCGAATGACTTTATGCCCTCAGGTTTCCTTGATCCGTTTCAAGCCCGTAAATCTTCGACTGCCTGCTGAGCCCTGTCCGTTTGGGCTGGGTGACCAGCTCCAAAAATACAGTGACAATTGGACAATTGTCTGTTGGCTGCTAGCCAATACCAGACTTGCCTGGGAGACAACATTGAGGAAAAAGAAAGACTGGAAAATTATTCCTGATCCACTACATGGAAGGAAACACCATCCTACAGGACACTGACTCCATGTGCTTAGCATTATTTAGCTAATGGAGAGCCGGACGTCTGCAGTTTGCTCTTGCGGATTTATGAGTTTATGAGATGTGAGAAAAGAAAATGCACCCCAAATGTCCTGCAACCATTGACAGTCTTGTCTTTTTCGGCCTTTCCCTTCTGTATCGCAAGACCTGGCTTGCCTCACAAAGATATTTGGTCTTATTTGCAGGGTTTGGTCAATATTTCATGAACCCAGCGAGTGACGAGGAGCTTCATCCATCGACTGGGCTCCATCGACTTGATTCGTGTCCAAAACACTCAATGGTTTCATCATCGGTGCCTCCACCAAGTGCTTTCGGTCCTGCAGACAGGGCTGCGTAGCAAGGCGTTGTTTGGTCTGCGCGGTGAAAACCAGGTCAATTCAGGAAATCACGATGGAGGGAGAGCTAATTGCAACCATCCTGGATGGTTATGGTTTTCTGTGAATGAGACAAGCCATCTCAAAAGAGTTGCCTACTTGTTCAACTTCTGGAGAGGCCAGGAGGTCCAAAAATCTGCTTCTTTGGGCGTCCCAATTTCTTTCAGGCTAAGCTGCAGTCGTGGACGACTGGTGAGGCCAGGTCCCGCTCGCGTGGGTGTCCTCCTCCACCGTGGCTGGCACGTCGCTGGGGCCATCGGCACCCTGGCTCCAGCGGTTTGTGGTCCGTTGGACCAGTTCGGTGGAGCAACTGGTAGACCAGGTGAGTCAACCCTCTTTTGAGCAGGCCGGGAGGCCGTCGGGGAGCAGGCTGAGAGGATCTGAGAGGTGAGTGGTCCAGTAGGCAGCTCGTAGCAAGGAAGAAGCTACGGATGGCTTGGATGCAAAAGGGCTCAGGCTTAGTGATGATTCCGAGACTTTTGGGGGGAAACTCTTGTCTTTCGTCTCCAACACGAACTGTCCAGAGGTGGCATTCTGCTGTGGACTGTGGGGAGGAGGGTGTTGAGAGGGCGTCCACAATAACCAGAAAGGGGACTACAGCTGAATCAGAAGCTTTCCTTTACACCTAACTACTTCTACACATTTATCAGCGTCAGGTTCATGCTGCATGAGAAGTCAGCAATCAAAGGAAATGAGCAGTGAAAAGTCCGCGTGACCTGGGGGGCTACTCGAAAGGCATTGAACCAAACACCTCAAGCAGCATTGACCCAAAACCTCGAGGTACCATGTGAGGTACCTCGAGGTCTCATGCCCAAGCCATCATTGACGTTACGCGTGCTACGCGTAACACGTGGGCGCTGAAGGGTGTCACCTGAAGGGCCCATGGTGCTTGTCGTTGAAAGTCTCCACTCTGTATCCCCCATGCATCCACGGACTGTCCATCCAGCAAAAGGAGATGTACCAGAATGCGTCAGCTGCCCAAAAAGCGCAAAGATGCGTTTTTGCAGAGAGAGAGAGAGTCCAGAATCTCCACCCTTCTTGCGACATCTTGTCCATTCGAGCGTCCACAAGTGAGCCTCGTTTGTGCCTGTGAAACCTTTCGTTTCCAGCTTCGCCTGGGGAGCTCCAGTGGCCGACTCAGTGTTCTTAGACAGTACCAAAGGCACCTGGCCACGGTCAAAAGCAAACAGGCCCTGTTTCGTCGAGTCGTGGAAATGGTTTAGTCAAGGACGAAACAGTTGTGGTGAGAGAAACACCTCTTTCCTCTTTCATATGCTATCTAGACACTCGGAAATCCGGGGGCGTAAGAGTAGAACAGGCCAGAATGTCCCACAATGGTCGCTTCACGCTTTTGGCTGCTTCGATAAAGAAAGAGCCCCAGCCAAAACATGACAACGTTGGGGTGCAGCAACATGTCTCATCCAATGGGTTCTTCTCTTTTCCCAACAGATACACACACTGGCAGCCAAGACTCCTACCTAGCCACAGAATCCACGGCTTGATGCTCAAACTGCTTTTCCGATGTTGCTTCTCCTCAGGCCCCTCAGCTTGGCACTTTGATCCTCAAGAGCTTGCTCTCAAACTGGGGGTTCACCATAAACCTGAGTGAAGAGCATCGCGGCATCTCGTGAGTGAATAGGCGGAGGCGACAGCATCGACTTAATCTTCAGCACCCTTTAGCCCGTGTCATCGCCAAAAGGGAGGCTGTTCTTCGTGGGAGGCGAATTGGTCCCAGGCGAATTGGTGTCTACGTAATGAGGATGGTATTACACAGTGGACAGCTCATCATTTGTACATGGCAGTGAAGTTATTGGATATGGCCTGACATGACCACTGGTTTTTTAAATATGAGCCTCCCGCCATAGATAGCTGAACTGATGCAATTCTGAACTCTTTCATACTCCATCCACTTGAGGACTGGCTTCAACCTAGCACATACTGGGCGAAGCAGAGCCGGGTCGCTGGTCGTTCTCCTCAGGCTCCTTCTTCTCACCATCTCCCAGTTTCACGAGGATCTTTGCCTCGAAGCCGCAAGGTTCGCCGGCAATCGCTGGTCACTGCGAATCCATTGGCATCATCACCCCGCACATCATAACACCCAAAAGAAACACATCCACCAGTGATTATGTGGGGTGTGATGGGGTGTGTGTTCAATTGCTGGGTGGCATGGGAGCTTCCAATTAGTAGTCTTCAAGCTCTTAATCTGTGTTTCTTCTTCGACTGCTCAACCTGATGGCATGCGGTTTGTAATCGGATCGCTTGGGGTGTCAGAACATATGGATGTTGGGGTGGAAAAGAACCACCAACTTTCGCCCAAAGGATCAACGATCGCCCAAAGGTCAGCAAGTACGAGTGGATCATTGCTTCAGAGTACTCTAATATTTAATGTGGGTCATGGGATATGTTATGTAGAGGGAGAGATACAATATTATAAAATTTTGGCGTCTGTGTATGTATATATATATATAATTAATTACATGCCTATCATGATTGATCCCTATCCAAATATGAGCTTTGGAGGGTGACTCTGCCGCCGTTAGAATGTTCAACCACAATTTCAGCCGAAACCCATCAGAATCTTGTGCCTTCGGGTTCACGTAGAGGCTCTGAAGGTGCCTCTTCAACTCATCCACAGGCTCTACAGGGATGTTGGTTCGCAAGCGAATATCCTGGCCGTCCGAGATGTTGGGCCGTCGTGTCGAAAGACTGAGACCGGTGATGGGTCGAAACCGGGGGACCGGACCGGCTGACCGCTTCGATGAACAGAATAGACTACGACTGAGTCAACCATTCCCAGAGTTTAGGGGTCCAGGTGCCATGACACCCACAGCCGTATCGTTCCCGAAAAAGGGCTGGTCTGGGCAGTCAGTCTGAGCCGGTGCGTTGCTGGAAAAAGAAAAGCGAGTTCGTCATAACGTCATAACAAGGAGATCTGTAGATGCAAGTCGCACCACTCCTCAAATCCTCTTTCCGACGAATGTCTAGTGAGTATATAAGCACTCAATGCCAAGTGATTCCGAGTCTCCAATTGGAGTCTCTTCGTCCTCATTGCTACTTCAAAAATCTTAGAATCCTCATGAAATCTCTATAATAATCTGTAGCAGGACCCTCATGATTCTTCAGGTGCAAGCTGTGCCACTCGGCACATGCCAGCCAAATCCTCCCACCGCTCAGCGAACGCCCATGTTTTACAACGGCCCGATCGCCTGGTAGGTCCATGTGGGCTGCTGGTTGAAGAGCATCAAAATGCACATCTGATACGTTGAGACCTCGGCCAGTTCAACGTCTGGAAGGTGAGAAGGACCGGTGGTACACCGCTGGATTAGCCATCGGAACCATTGGGTTTGTTTTTGTTCTTCTTCGAAACAAACGAAGAGGGGTAGAGGTGGTCCTGGTGTGGACCGGCGCAAAGGATGACCGAGTTCGCCTTGTTCGGCACTTTTTCGTAGGACCACGAGCTCTTACAGCTCAGGTTGATCAGGTTCTTGAAGCTGTAAGTTGGACGATTGCCAACTAAGCTCACTCTGAGAGACCCGGCACTAAGCTCATGCTTCGTCTTGGGCATTTGAGCCTCTCCATCGTAGAGGTACCGTTGGAAACTTGCATGTCAATCTTGTGCAGCAGTTAAAGATGCCTCCTCATACATGGTGTGAACTTTTGGACAGGTTTTATCCCCATGCATCGTCCGAAAAGCCAACGAGTGCAATCACTTCGCTGCGCCGAACTGGCCAGTGGATCTTGTATTTCACTCCATTTCTTGTCTGACTTCTGTCATTTCTCCAGGATCCAAATCCACACATCCACAAAAGCAAAATCCTGTGGTCACCCCCGAATCGCATGCCGGAAGAACACTCGGAGCAGGCGTGCGGCAGACCACCTTGAGGTCAGCTGCCCCATACTGCGGCTGCCAGGTAAGCTTGCGACCTGCGGTCAGTTTGGATTGGGATAGCTTTCTCTTCAAAGGCGAACCGGGTCATGGCAGGTTCAGAAACAAACAGAGAGATTGATCCAGATTCACAGGTCGGGCATTGAAAGAAAGGCACCAGCTGGATGTAGGTTAGGGGCAAATAAGACAGGTCCAAGCAAGTAGTTCCTTCATTCCAAATTCTCTTCAAAGGTTTTTCACTCACAGTAAAGCCCCACGGCTTCTGAAGACCAACTCTCAATTTGGGTGCCAAAAAGAAGCGGCGGACGCCTGTGTGCTTTGCCAGGTAAAAGGTTTCGAAGCGACTGATGCACTCCTGGGACTGAACGCAGACGGAGTCTGAAGAACCAAGGGGATGACGAACAAACCAGTTCATTGTGACCTGGTGCTTTTCAGAAATAGACTGGCGGAACGATGTTGAACTCATGTTTTAGGCGGCTAGACCTGGTCTTCAGAGATTGTGAGCTGTTAGCCTGTGGTTGGCGAAAACCCTCCATCAGTTTGGGAATCCCCGGACGGCCCCAAAGCACTGAAGCACACCCACGTGTCTGTCGCGGCATGCTGTAACCAGGGTGACCTGCACTCCAGCAGGAGTCAGTGGCAGGACTCAAGTCAAATTTTTCTGGTATCGCAGGCCCTGCTGTGTAACCATGAAACAAGTAGTTTGGCTTTCCCCAGGAAGAGATTTGACCCAAAACATCCCCGATTCCAGCAACGTCTAACCTGCCATGGTCAAAACTCATCATCATCATCATCATCATCATCATCATCATCATCATCATCATCCTATCCTTGCCAAGACCCTGAAAAGGCTTGCATCAATGTGCTTTATATAAACAAATTTAGAAAAGGTGAAAAGCGATCGCTGTTTAACCCACTACAAGTTTTGACAACAGCACATATCTCTGCACATGTTCCTCTGAAACAATGGCTCAAAAGAATTGTGGGAATATGTGGGACGGTGGGAATGTAAGCATATAGTGTTTGGAAGTGACAACAGCGTGAGTTGCCCTTTCACTGGCGTGATCTTAGTTAAAACCTGCCCTGTCTGCGACCAGCTCTCATTGCCCCACCTTCTCTGGCATGTAATCAGATATGGGCAGTTGCCATTCTGTAGCAAGTCACCATCACCCACAAGTACCGCACTAGCTTCGTTGGTGAGGAAACACACCGCTTCTTGAAGCGTCTGCAGCCGAGTGGATCCTCTGAGTGGATGCACTGAAATGATTGAACAGTCTTTGGTCCTTTGGAGAATCTTTAGGGGCTTGATACAGCAAGCGATTTCCAAGCGGCTCGATGGCTTGAACATTCATTATATAGAGAACATGAGAACATCTGAGGAGAATAGACGGGGAACCGCCAATCGAAGCAAACAAGGGCAGATCATTCGCTTACCAAACGGTCCCTGGCAAAACTGCTGGGGTTCCCGGTCCTGCACTTCTGGAGGAAGAGTGCAAGGGTTCATTGGTGATCCTGACAAGTAATTGCTTGCCAAGCTCAAGAATAGGATACTCAAAGAACATCAAGCTGCTCAAGCTTGCACTGATCGCTTGCGGTAATTGAAATTAGTCGTAGCATTCTGTCGCTGTCAGGGTACCGGTACATCCTCGACATGTGTGGGGGTTCAATAAAAACTAACACAGGTATCCCGGATGGCTGCGGTGGATTCCTTATGATGCCTTATACTTATTTAGTTTCCTTCGAAGGATGCAAGAACACGCAATCTGCCTGGCCAAAATCCGCTGGTGAGCACAGACACCTTGGAAGAACGTGGAATGACCCTGCACAAAGTCAGAAGTGGTTCTTTCATTCAGGGCGTCCCAAGTCCACACCAGAATTGTAAAATAATGGTTTTGGATGGTTTTGGGTGAGTTTAATACTTAGATCTAAGGAAATATATTATATATATACATGTGTGTGTGCAACTGTCCGAAATCGAACGTTGGGATCGTCAGATACTGTAGGTCTTGCAGTCTATCATTATTTTGGTGAAGCCCGACATGCCACTCCTGTCTTGTGAAAAGGACAAGCTCGAAAATCAAAGCAACGCTTTGGCAACATGTAAAGGTGAAGAAAACTCCTCACTCGAAGATTCATGAAGTTGATGGGCCAGTGGAAGACTCTTCCTCTCTATCGTAGCAGTTTCTATCTTTGTCCAGGCCTTTCTGGGGGTCTTGGAATCCTCCAAGCTTTTCTCCGGATCAACTACCACTCTTAGGTCCTAAGTCATGTGCGATCGCAAAGGCTTACCGATTCGCTAGAGTATCATGGACCCCCAACGTCCCAGCACACAGATATGAATGAATTTCAGAAGGGAAACAGGTTCAATATCTCTGCACACCATCCCGAAACCACGCACTGTTGTTGCGACACCCCCCTGATAAACTATGATACAGTAGATCTCCAGATGGACCATCTGGGATGTTGTCAATTCAACGAGTGCATCCAAATTTATTGGGACAACTGGTCGCAACTGATCAATTGGTCGGCAATAGAACCACCCATCTGTGGTTTTTTTGACCGGGCTATCGATGTAGGAGGCCTTGCCACCCACCGGCGCCTTCATGTCGATGGAGGATGAGGCCGACGACACGGCGGATCCCACCCCTGCAGCGAAGCCCGATGCTTTGGGTGAAGCCCGGGACTGACCGGAAGGTACCTGAACCTATTCATCAAATGATAAAAATATGAAATAATATGAATGTCTATGTGTATGTATATATATATGCCAAAAGAACAAAGGATGGTGGTACAAGTCGTTGCAAAACCCGTCTATCTTCACTTGTCCTGCATTGAATATAGAACGAACGACATAGACGTTGTTTTTTGTGTCGGACACCTGTGCTCGCGATTCCGCCATTTCCTCCAACCTACAAATATGTGTTTCTACCGTGAAATGATCTGAAGCAAATGGGTCCCCACCCCGGTGCTTGGAGTCGAGTTCTTGGACCGATCCCGGAAGAGTTTGTGGTTGGGGCATACATCATGACAAACAAAAAAAACAACAAGGGTCTTCGAGGGTTAGAACCCATATGGTGCAACCATGTAAAATAGTGTGTAATTTACATCTAACTATATGTAGTTGTATAGATAGATAGATAGATAGATAGATAGATAGATGGATGGATGGATAGATAGATAGATAGAGATATAGATATAGATATAGATAGATAGATAGATAGAGATATAGATATAGATATAGATAGAGATAGAGATAGAGATATAGATATAGATAGATATAGATAGATATAGATAGATATAGATAGATATAGATAGATATAGATAGATAGATAGATATAGATAGATAGATAGATAGATAGATACATATATATATATATTGTAATTGTATGCATGATGAAAAGGAACAAATGCACACAGACCGGGCCGGGCCTGGCCCAGCACGGGAACCACGCCTGCCCAGATCCGTGCATGTCCGGACATGGTGCACGAATGGCTTGGCAAAATGTGGCGCATGCAGCTCAGCTTGGGCGTCCGGCGAGAGAGAAGGACTCGCAAATGAGTTCTTGTACCTCAAGTGGCTGACCGAAATCTTGATGCATCACACTGCCAGGAAGCTTGGAGCTCTGAAGTTGTGTTTGCGTGTGATCTGAGGTATTATACATGACAAAGCTCCAGGTGTTTACAGTATGGAAGAAACATGTTCAGAAAAGCTGGACCATGCAGTTCGGTGATCTTTGACCTATGGTCATCCATGCCATTTAAGACTGAGTCAAAGCTTCATTGATTTGCCGTGGAAGGAACAGGCCAACCATCCGAAGTCAACTGCTGGGCGATCTGCTGCTTCATGATGTCTTCCGACAGCTTCATGTCTTGAAACCTACAGTAGACATCTCCGGAGAAGAAGAGGTCACGACCGTGCTAAAGCGCAAAATTCGATGCTCTCAGAGAAGTGTTTCATTCTTGCAAAACAGTTTGTCCATCCTCAAATGATGTGTTGCCGAAGAATGCGATAACATGTTTTAGGGCTGGACACTTTTCCAAATGAACGTCACAAACAAACTGTTAGATTAGATTGATACAATCCTGGTTAGGGATGAACAGATAGCCAAGTGCTCTTGCAAGGGTGAGATGTGGAACGTTGGGTGGCACGTGCAAGTTCCCCTCTTGAAGAAACATGTACAGTAGACCAAGTATGACCAAGCTTCCTAAGGACTGGGCATGCCCTCCAACTTGGAGGTGTACTGATGTCCACACTCGCCTCAGCCAAGGAACTCTCTCTCTCTCTCTCTGGCTCTGAGCTCCTGTCAGCATGATTGGAGGATCACTGAAACCCTCCCTGATCTGCAAGTGTAGAAAGCACTAAGGTGCAGTGCGTGCAGTGCCATTGTCTCAAGATTGGGAGGCCACCTGGCTACTGGGTTTCATTTTTCCCCTATGTCAAGGGTGTTTGGTCACGAGCTGTTCTTGGACACACTTGAATCAAACTATACAGGGTTGACATGCACACAAAGCTCGGAAGCCGCGTACAAATCAGCATCGCTGTTGATATGCATTATGTAACATATTGTAACATCACCACAGGTGGAAAAAATGTAAACAAATATAAATCAGGCTCCACAACAGCTGAATTTGCACTTCCGTAAGACGTAACATGAGCAATGAGACCTACTATATGGAATAAGGGCACTGTTGGTTGACAAAGTCCTGCACCATCCAAGAAACTCTGGATCACAAATCCCCTGTACATATGGCGAGAAAGGATTCTCTATGGTTCCATTCTCGGTGGTGGAGAACTTTGGTCTGTCGACACGACACTGTTTCCGTCTGTTTCGCATTGCCCAGTTGCTCTTCAACTTGGAGATCATACTTCTTTCAGCTTCGTCACTGACACTTCGACCTGTGCGGTCACGACTCGCAGTCGACCCTTCAAGAATTCGACGGACCGGGTTCAACCGTGGCCCACCCTCTGGACTTGAAGCCATCACTGAAACTGATTCACGGAATTTCCGGAGGTGACGAAGCCGACCCATTTCTCACAAGTGTTGTTTCCGCCCGACCCATTTTGCACTTACTATTGAGGATACCATTTGATACCACTTGTAACTATATACTTGTATACTTGTTACAAGTCCATAAATTATTCACACAAGTACAAACGTTGACTCACCGACCCCCTCCCTTTCGCAACCAGGTGCCAGCTTGGTTCCCAAGATCTGGCCGCATCTTGACGGGTTTGCCTGTGAGAAGCCGCTTGGACAAGTGCTGCTTGTAGAAGTTCTCGAAGACATCCTTCAGACATCAATGAAACCCTACCTCTGACTGGGGCTGTAAGATGAAAAGTCCGGCAAAGTGGGTATATGATATGATTATGTCGTCAACATTTCCGGTCTTCAACAACTGGCCAACATCCCGGCTTTTGTATTATATAGGCCCGGAAGCGGCAGGATTGCGACTAGCAAACTAGCATCAAAGTGTCTGAACCAACGGGAACATCCAACCCAGTTGTGGATGTGATGAAACTCCCGGAATTACCAAAAACTGGAGTGGACCAGACGAGAGCAATTGACAGATTGACCATCAGGTTTGGCCACTTTGGATGAGGGGTCTTTAGCGTCCAATCTGGAGAGAATCACAGAATTAAGGTGTGAATCCTTGGGTGAGTTCAGTTCAGTTGAACCACACCAAATAATTTATATATAATTACATCCAAATACAACACCAGACCGGCCAACCCGAGTCAATACCCGAGTGATGCTGTTGCGAAACCAACCATACCAAACCCTGGCTTGTCGAATCATTGCATCCTTCAAGAACTTGGCTATCTCACTTCAACACAAACGAGTTCTCCCAGGCATAGCCCTGTGCACTTACACAATTGTTGATAATTGAAATGGTCCAAAGCATCACTTGCCAGACCACCAAGACCACCAAGACCAGGGCGCTCGACTGGACCCTGATGGAGGCGACTGGACGCAGCTGCGCCAACCGTCCTTGTCTTGTAAGAACCGGAAGACGGTGACCACCTGCGTTCGCTCCCGCGGGGAAGAAACCCGCGAGGGAGCCATCTCCGTTCGCGAAGGAGCCTGTGTACTAGTAGCAGATGGGCGTGTACCAATGACACTCTGGAAGAAGGAAAATATACCAAAACACATGGGGTCTCCCTATGAAAATGCAAACCCAGATGTAGAGGCACTCAACAGTTGCTCAAGGACGTGTAAAGGCCGAAAGCTGCATGTCTCTCAGAACGTTCCCAAGACTAGAAAGCCATTCCAAACAGGTTTGTTCTACGAAAACCTGCACTGTGCATAACCTGTGAATTGTCGTGTTCCTCCCATCAAACTCCAAGTCTTACTACAGATCCGCCTGCGCAAAACCGAGGCAGCAACCAAGACCATCCAGTCCGAAAAGTCACAGTGGATAATTTGCTGACAACTTCACCTACACAGCCTAGACATACAACGGTGTTCGACTTGCAACCTTCAGACCGCCTGCTCCAGTGCTGTATCCACGTCAGCATCACTGGACATGCCCTTCAGCCCTTTGCGGAACCTGAAACATATCGTTTCTCCCGCGCGTCGAAGGCGTCGCTGGGAGCGGCGCTTGGCCCAAGGCGGGCTGGGGACTGTGGGGACCATGACCCCTGTCAACACCGAATTCACTGGAGCTGTCGTTGAAGGAGATGAGTTAGCAAGTTGAAGGAGCCCAAACTACCAGGGGGGTCGGCAAGCCTCAACATGCCTCAACTAGTGCTGTCGGAAAGCATGCCAACCAGTTATAGGTCCTCAATTGGAGGCTCTGGACACACGCCGCCACACTGAAGGCTTACAAGTGTTGCTAAGCATGATCGATCGATCCAAAACTCAGAACCAACAAGGACCCATACCCCACTCAAGGCATCTATGAAGCCTCAAGTCTCATGGTGACATGCTATTGGCACCTATTCACGTAGGAGGAATTCTGGCTAGTTTTGATTCTCAAGCCTCTGGCCACCCCAGTTGAAACCAGTGGTTTCAAACACTTTGAGCTAGATACCACGCTTTAGGTGATTTAATCAAGCACCTGGAAGAAGGACCTTGTTAGTACCGGTCCTGTTTGCTCTGGGCGGTTTTTTGCGCAACAAAAACCATACGGCTCGATCATGTTCAGTCCGCTCCCTATTCTGCGTGGAGTCCTGAAAGACACCGAGACATGTTCGGGCATCCCAACTGGTCATCCACATAGAGAGACAAGTACTGTGCAGTGCGGGTGTCCTGCCGGCCAGGTGTCGCTCGGCCGGTGCCAGCGTGGAGGGAAAGCCAACAATCCACGCCCGTAGGCATCATCCCAGAGCTATGACATATGAGCGACGGCTTTTATTGATCATCAAACTTATATTGTGCTCCGAACCTGGTACATTTTGACTCGTTCTTTTGCTTCTTGAATAGACATTTGGGTGTCAACTCGCTTTGGTCTCCGACGCAGAACGCTGCAGGGCACAGTGGCTGCGGCACACTGTCAATGCGTTCAGTGGCAAATCATTTAAGCATGGGCAAATAGAAGAAGAACGTGGTTCGTGGCAGCCTGGTAAAGACTCTCTGAACATGAACAAGCAGCTCCCATGATGTAAAGGTCAATCGATCTAAACTTTCTTGTTTCCATGGCTTGGTTTGAACCCCCAAACACACAGACTATCAAAGCTAGTATATAAGGGAATCCCCGCCCATGTACCATCCCACCCCAGAATGGCAGACTCGTCCATCCTTCGATCTATGCCATGCTCCAAACTGTTCCTAGTCTTTTGATGTCTTGGTGTGGTCCTGATCATCAAATCATGATCTATATGTATATATAATTATATAGCTTTTGTTATATTAATTACTATTACTATATAACTGTTATTGCATGGACTTCTTTTCATAAGTGGATGTGTGTTTCTTTCAAGGTCGATTGTGTCCGAATATGTCTGCATCAACGGGTTTCCCAGCATCAAAAGCCTTTATAACTTATAACGTTATGTCATATCCAATTCTGGCCATCCATAATATAACATAATAGGTAACAAAAGACTAGCCATCGATGAGATGACTGCAGTCTGTGAATCTCTTCAAACTCTACGAACAGCGCCACCCCTGCGGCTCAAGCGATCGTGGGTGGACTGCGTTTGTTTTGCATTGTTGTTTTGGGGTGCCCTTTTTTTGGATGCCACAACCAATGCGACTCAACTGACTCTACCGTCACCTGCCGAAGTTCAGCCAGTGTCCTTGTTCAGGAAGGACTCAAAAGCTTGCTTCAATGCCAACTGAAAGTCCTTGCGGATGATTCCAGGCAGTGTCTTGCAAAGATAGCCTTCCTCAAACAAATGGGAGGTGCAAGGCTCTTGCGGAAAGAGCACTTGGCAGGATCCATTCATGTTCATACTGTTTCTTTGGCTGTTCGGTTATGTTCAGTTGATTCCATAAAAATCAGTTCCTCGCGCTTATGCGTCCTTGCTCTCTTTGAAGGACTCTTTGACAAATCTGTCGTACCTGGACCAACACCCGCGCCACACTAACCGCAACCAACCACTGCAGTCATGGCACTTTCAACAACCCAACCCTGAACCGTCTGGGCCCACTCAGCACCGCCCATTACAAGGGGGCCTGGGTGATCCCAAAGACGGGCATTTGTCTGTCCATCCGCCCATCCCCGCTTGCCAACAGCACAAACAGCAGAAACATCAAAAGACGAAAAGGACGACCACCCAGGATGCCCTTGTCAGTGTGCGAACTATGATGACAAAGCAAGTCAACATGTGTAAGCACCTACAGTAGTTGTGTAGTCAACTTGTCATACTCATGGGCCCCGGTGGATGGTATCCAATCATTTGGTTGCAACTTTTGTATAGGCATCACGAAGTCAACATCAATGCTCAGTCAAAAGAGGCTGAGCCCGTCGTATGGGTTCTCCACGAACCAATCGCATGAGGGATGTATCTAGTGTTCTGGGGAATGGGATCTCGACTAAAATGCGGGAGATGTCGTACAATGGTCCGTAATGCGCTGCTTGGCAATCAAAGCAACATTACGAAGCCTATAACTGACTCTCACCATGATACCAATGTCGGAAGAGCAGGCTCAGGTATGCAATGGAATATATGGCCACTTCAGGCTTGCGAAGGAATGGGCTGTCAAGTCTGCAAGCTTGCTGTCGCCAGTGCATACAAGGCAAACACAAGGGTCAATGTAATGAGGCGACTGAGCCATGACAGGCACAATTGTTTGCCTGTTGATTTCTTTATCTTTTATATAAACACATTCTTTGAAGGTGTGTCAGATTGATCAGCAGCAACTTCTACTAGGTAAATATGTATTCATTTGTTTGTATTCGCACCCATGAACCATACTTTCTTTCCAAATTTGGTTGACTTGTAAATGCAGCCTGTCTGCAATGCCGTTGCCTGGTATATCAAGCAGTTGGACGGTGCTCCTTGCATGTGATGGGTTTTGAAGAGATTTGGCTTTCCAGGAAAAGTTAGTTAATGTTGCAATCAAATCATATCTCACCCACACAAACGCATTATTGTTTGTGATGTGTGCAACCTCTGCTTGTGAATCATGTGAATGGTGTATTGAGAGTTTGAAGTACTGTAACTGTAACGATAGCTTGCTTTGTTGGGTCTGGGTGACGCATGCAACTTACAATCCATTCGAGGGTCTGCATGGTCAATACCTTGTCTTCCTTGGACATACTGAATTGCTAGCTGTGCGAAATGGTTGATTCGGGGAGGGCGGTAGGTACTGTCTGCTTTCGCGTGGAGTATTCTGCCTCACAAACCAACAAACAAGCACACAGCCATCACGCGTGTCAGAGCATGGACAAAATGGACACACCAAGGCATGTCCCATGGGCCATTGAAGCGTTCGGTTTTGATGCATGAACAGGGTTGGGGCAGGGGCTGAAATTTTCAAGACTGCAACCATGCTCTGGGAAGGTGCTCAGCTTAGTTCCATGGCAGCGCAGATTTTGTCAGTCAACACCAATAGCCTAAGCTGTATCAAACACCCATGTATATATCTACTTTGTGCTGCTGGACTGATCTTGAGAAAAAGTATATTATGAAGATGTCTGCAAGTGCAGCATCATCTGCATACCGTGTATGATCTTAGATACTGTACTAAATACCGGATCGCGTGTATGATCCTATATGTTGCATTTCTCTATTTTTGACATAGAAAACATAATATGTCAACAGAGTCAGGAAGTCTCCGATTCAATAAGAACCCGACTTAATTACTAAACTAAACCGGCCCCCCCAGAAAAATGGCCTGGCCCGGTTGAACAGGCTCGCTCGCTGCGTGGCTCACTTGTACTTGAGGCTCAGGATGGCCGTGATGAAGGACACGGGATCCTTGACCTTCTCCGGATCGTTCAGTACATCCCGTCCTGCATGATCCGACTGGAAGAAGGTGACGAGTAGCCCGGCAGTAAGTAGCCCGTTGAGGGAGGTTCTGTGAACATGGTCCGGCCGTTTCTGGTGGGCCGTTTTGTGGATTCCACAACACGAGAAACTTGCTTTGAAGTTAAAAAGAATGGACTCGAGTGGACAAGCACGTGTCCGTTACTGTACTGGTTGGCCCGGACATTCAGCGTTGTGAAGAGACTCTACGGCTAAATTTAACAAGGGTTCAGGTTGCACGGTTACATCCCTTGTATGTAGTACAACAAAAGTTGTTGCATCCCCATCTCCATTCCGTGGTAAAGTAAAGATAGTGCTTCAGCAAGCCTCATCTTAGTCCAGAACTTCTGTTTGCTCATGCTCAAAATGTCTCCTGCTTCACACATACAATCCATCATGACCTCAGATGTGGGCCACAGTAGTCGAAGAGGTCCAGATTGCAACGGGTCGAAGGGCAAGAGCTCAAAACTGGGAAGACTTCCATGCTCACTTCTGTTGATGGAAGATATCCAACCGCAGTACCCATGATGCGGGAACCGCACTGTACATATCACGGTCTTCCTGATGTTTTCCTTATCCCAAATAGGGCAGGATTCCTCCCGGCAAAGGCATGTGGATGACTATCCTGGTTCCTGCTAGGACTCTTGAGTATGCATGCAGCGTCCATCCTGAAATTACATCATGAATCAACTGCCACCAACTCCACCAATTCATGATTCGACCGATCTCTGAGATCTCTGTCGATGGTAATCCACACTCAGTTTTGATTCTCAACCCTGGAATGAAAACGAGAGGCAGGCTTGTTAAATCTGCTTTGAGATCAATAACTCCGATGTATCCCCCGTGCTACATAGAAGTACCCAGCCACTGCGGTAAGGGCATCAGATTTATTTGTGCACTTGTCTGATGGTGCTGATAGTAGGGCCACCGAGGCCCTGACTTTCTGTACCTCCTTCAAGGTCACAGGTACTCTGCTGAAGAGCAAGTACATCCTGACGAAGCATCTTTGGGAAAAAATATCCAGGACTATTGGATATTAGATGGTTTTGCCCCAGGGATATTGGTAGGAAAAGAATGGAAAAGCCAAAATCCAACTATGCTATGCAGGGTGCAATTTATTGAATTTGATGGGATTTGTAGATCTCTTAGATCTGCAATCGTGGCAATGTAACTGAAGCACTGGTGATCTGAGTTGTTAAAGCAGCAGAAATCGTTGGCTGTGGCATTCCCAGAATCAGGAAGCTGCACAAGGAAGCAGCAGAAATAGTACTTGAAACTGAAGGATCTAAACAAACCATCCAAGCTCGCGTTGTGATTGGAGATCGCTTGATCGTGACACGTGTCCTTCATGCGCTTCGGACATGTGAGAGATCGGCGACCGGTCGGTTGGACTCTCGGTTTGTGGGGATAGAGTTGCAGTTCTTCCACAAACCACCTATTCCGATTCCCCAACTACTAACTACTAATCTATAGATTTGTTTCAGACTACAGTATCAACCTTGGAAGGTGTGCAATCTCCGCTGCTAACCGTCTTGCCTCTCCAGGTCTGCAATCTTGTCACACTGGAACATCCATGCGCACCTCAAGTCGAGTCGGCAGAACGTCGGCTCGTCTCGACTCGACTTCGGCTTTTTTCCACGTCACGCTTCTGTCGGTTCAATGAGAAAAGCAGTGCTGAGTCGCTTACGAAAAAGTAAGCAGAGTTGAGAGGAAAAGGGCACCAGACTAGCTGTTCCTATCTGAGGCACATCCGACCCTGCTCCTTTTTTGGCATAGGTATGCTTCTTCTCTTGTGCAGTGCAAACATTCCTTGAACTGGCACGTCTTTGTTCCTGGAACTTGGGCCACTAGTGGTGGCTGGAGGACCACTGATGACCATTTGGTGGCTAAAAAACAGCCCAGCCTAAAGATTCCATCGATCGTAATTAACAGAATGCAGATCATCGATGCGATCCTCTTCGGAAGACTTCGCCTGGTTCTTTGCTGGGGCAGAATGCCAATCCTCCGGGTCATCCAGCTTCAAACCAGCGAGTCGGAGTTTCATGTATGTTATTGAAGAGAGCAACGCAATGTTCGTTGAAAACTGGTCCACGGCTCTGCCGCTAGATCTTTATAAAGGCCATTTGACATCATGTGACTCTCCCAAAAATGAAGGAATCCCCCAGTCCCCATGTCCCCATGTGTCTCCAAGGAATCCATTCCTTTCTGTCGACAGGTCGGAGCAGCCCACAGATCGACGGCCAGACCGTCACACCGTCGTACATCGACCAATGCTGCCAAGCAACCCAGAGTTCTCCATGTGGATCAAGGTCTTGTAATGGACCTGTATCCACTCTTCATCACACAGCTCCTGCAATGAAGCACACAGCTGTGAACCAGAGTTTACAGAGCTGGGAGTCATCCATGGTTGTGTTTTTCAAGAGCTTCTTGGCAGCTCCTTTTGGAGACATCATCCTCGGAATTCGTCTGTCAAGTCCTGTCAAGTCTGACCTGGCGAGTTCTGACCTGAGGGTAGGTTGACACCCAGATCTCCCAGATCCTATCTGGGTCAGAAGCCTAGTGACTAGGGACGTGCTGGGGATCCCCAAAAAAGCGTGGGAAATTATAAAAGTTGCGTCTATCAACAAAGACCCACTGAAACCATGTTCAACCCGCAAAACACCACTGGACTGGCCATAAGACCCGTCATCGCACCCACCCACGTGGCGTCCGGATGCGTGGCCTGGATCTTCTCCATCGTGGATTCGTGCAAATAGTTCTCCACCTCGGTTCGACGGGAACCAGGGACCGAGCGGGACCTGTGTGGACAGGCCGCGGGCGCATTGCGGCGCGCGCAAAACAACAAGACAGTCGCAGGAACCAGGAACCCCCAAACAATGGCTCCTGACAGTTCTTGAGATTGGGAATTCTTAAGGACCAACCCTCAAACAATACCCAACTCAAAAGTCCCCATCTCTGTTGGTCCCAAGCGGACCATTTCCCTTGAACAGCAAACTTCCAAGCGGGTCCATAGGAGTCAAGTTGATCCATGCGGAACCGATGGTGATCAGTGAGCGGTTTCGGAAGTAGGACCCTCCATCGGCGGCTTCGGTCGGAGCAACGTTGTGGATGGAGGAGCAGTTGGATGCCGACAGATCAATCATCTATCGCTCTGGCTTATCTCTTGGATGAGGAAGTGGAGCCTCCATATACAATATATCCTCTGTCTTGGTCTTTGTTGTGGATGACCCTCAACAAAGAAGAAAAAACCCGAGACTTGACTAAACGACTACAAAGGCAGGGTCTGCATGTCCTCACATCCAAATACATTGCTTGCACTTCATTGCTTGCTTTGAAAGGAAACATGAATATTCTAAGCTGGTGCGCGAGCGTTGTTTTGCTAAGGGGTATCCTTTCGCGACCCCGCAGGAAAAAAATGTAAAAAAAATGTTTTTCTATTTTTACCGTTTTTACCGCGGATATTGATATGGTAGAAGAAAAAGGAGCGCCCCCCGGTAAAAACGGAAAAAAATAGAATGTTCAATTTTTACCGTTTTTACCGCGGATATCGTAGAGAAAAAGGGGCGCCCCCCCGGTAAAAATGGTTAAAAAAAAAATAAACTTTTTGATGTTTACCCTCTTTACCGCGGATATGCCATTTAAACATGGAGCGCCCCCCAGTAAAAAAGACTAAAACCAAGATTCTTACCGTTTTTGCCACGGAGATGGTAGAAAATTACAGGACAAGTCCACCTACAAAAACGGAGAATAACACAAAGTTGATTTTAACGATAACGATATGTCAGAAGCAAAAAGAGCAAGCGACTCTTCATTAAAAAAGGTAAACAACAAAAGTAGTAATTTTCACTTTGGACCGTTTTTACCGCGAGAATGCCTCGGGACCAGGTCGCAAGCTAGAAGACCTGTGTCAACAAAAAGGTTTAATGTTACAGCCCGGGTATCTTCCTATAACCAGGTGGGGTTCACTCCTCCTATCATATAGGAGCGTGTGCCCTTTTCGACAAGAGGAGTTTGGTGATTGATCAACATTTCATGACTTTTAGCTTTTGCAGGGCAATGAAAGCCTACATCACTTGGATCGAAAACGTTCGATTTTTACCAACCGCGGATATGGCAGAAGAAACAGCGGTGACCCTCCGTTAAAAGCTGAAAAAAACATAGACCCGTTTGCCCCCCTCGATCAAAACGGTACAAAAAGAACAACAATTAATTTTACCGTTTTGATCGCGGATATGGTATTGAGAAAGGAAGCGCCCCCCGGTAAGAGAATCGATGTTTGCCGTTTTTACCGCGGATATGGTAAAAGAAAAAGGAGCGCCCCCCCGGTAAACACGTTAAACAAAAGGAAGGTTTTTGTTTTTTCGATTTTTACCGTTTTTACCGCGGATATGGTAGAAGAAAAAGGAGCGCCCCCCCGGTAAAAACGATAAACACATAAAATGTTTTATTTTTACCGTTTTTACCGCGGATATGCTAGAAAAAAAGGGGCGCCCCCCCGGTAAAAGTGGTTAAAAAAACAAAAAATGCTGTTTACCGTTTTTTCCGCGGATATGGTAGACGAAAAAGGGGTGTCCCCCCGCGGAAAACGGTAAAAAAACAAGAAATCGATTTTTACCGTTTTTACCGCGGATATGCTAGAGAAAAAGGGGCGCCCCCCCCGGTAAAAACGGTAAAAACAGAAAAATTTCGCTTTTTACCGTTTTTACCGCGCAGATGCCTCGGATTAACCCCGTAACCCCGGCAACTACGCTAAACCAGCACAGTGAATATTCTGGACATCGATTTCATGATCAAAATTGATGTTTGAAGATTAGGTAGACTAGTAGAAAACTAGTACATTAACAATGACATTCCAAGACCCAATCATGACCTAATCCTCACACAACTTGCATGGGAGCCCTGCTCGTGCTTTCTCTTCGCGAATTCGCTTTTCTGCCTCGAGAAGGAACACCCAACGATTGGCCCGCCCATTGGGTGCATGGCATCCTACTCGACTCAATGAATCCAGGACTTGCTCTAAGGCTTCAATCAGAGCCAGCCCTTGAACCACTGTGTTACCCAGTGGTGGCATGATTTTGAGAAGGTGCAGAACAATTTCAAGAAAAATATACAGTTTGTCCTCGTAAAATAGAGAGCTAGCTTTTGAAACCACAAACGACAAACCAATTGATTCTGGATTCCCAACCCAAAGAACACTACCAGGACTTTCTCCTCAGCAACACAACAAGGCTTGGGTTGCAGCTGTCCTGAAGCTTGCACCATGTTTGGTCGTTCATCCCTGTTCCAAGTCTGAAGGACTCCGTCTTGGTGCTGCAAAGGGATGGATTCCCTTAATATACTGTACCTGCAGGATGTCCTTTGCTGACTTAATGTACATATGCATCCACTGCTCAAAATGTCAGAGCCAATTCCTCCTGTTTTCTTTTCACATCTCTTTACAGTAACAATTTTTAATATGTCAGCAACTGATTGCCACATGGATTCACATGGATGAATCATATACAGTATCAATCCCACCGTATTACTCAATTGATGCAGATCGCTGCAACAGTGAAGAAAAACACCCAGATCTTTGACAGACCGGCAGACCGCCAGGCCGTGGTGTTTTGTGGTGCAGAGCGCCTTCTTCAGGTAGTCGGAGCAAGGGTTCTGGGAGATGTATTGCTTGGACTCATCCTGACAATTCCAGATGGGCCAGTAGGGTGGAGGGAGATGGGTGTGTCCTATCAAACCATCTAAGGCCATTCATGATGTATGCATATGATTACATGTTGTATGTCTGTTCACGCCCTTAATCGAATTTTGCAGTTATAAAAGGGGCTGGGAAAATGGCTGCGTTGGCTTGGCATTTTGCATGGTCCGTCTCCCATTGCATCTCTTTTCCCCAACTTTTGGATAGAGGAAGCTTGACTCTCCGAGCAACTTTCGTTACTGTATATAGTTCTGCATGGAGTGTTCTAGAATAGTCCTAAGGTGTTCGGATGCAAACGAGCAGTTATTGAGTCTTCGGTTTCCCTGCTCTCACCACCCCATTGCCTTCCACCTCTCTCGCCCTCATTTTCAGACAGAACAGCACCGTTGTTTGGATGGCATGCCGAGGGGACCCTTTACGGAGATGATCAAATGCGGACACATGCGTGGCGGCTTTCCGGCTTTCCTGCCTGGTAGAACTTCCTGGTGTGGTCCAGAAAGTGGTCTTCAAAACACTCTCTGTACACCTGATGCTGAGCTCGACTAGGAGCAGGTGCTGGCACCATGAAAGACAAGCAACAAGCTAACTAAAAATTTAACTATCATATATGTTCCTATCATATGTTCGAAGGTGCAAAGTGAAGATTTAAGTTGGAATGGAAGGTAGACATTTACTTTCTATCCATTGCAAACAGCATGGCCCAGAAGGGCGAACTCATGCGAACTCCGAATCCCAAAGAAGAGGTGGACTCCAAACGCAAACATTGGAGAACAAACGTTCGTCGAGGAAAGCCCAAGTCCCGGGCATTTTTCCCCTGCACCCCAAGCTCCACCAACATGTTCACCGTGTGCTTCAGCAGGATCCGGTCCACCTGACGTCACGTGACACCCCACCCGGTCCACTCGGTCCAGAGACACGTCTCTCCCACGCTGGTCGACCCACGCTGGTGTTCACATGGCAGGCAAAGGACCCGTTTAAGAAGATTCGAATGTAACAACATTGGTGGTTAGTAAGTATCGCACAGACACTGATGAAATACCGCATATTTGTTGTTCAACGATTCAACACTCCGTATATGGGGGTTGACTAAGAGATGGATGATCATCCCAAGTAAAGGAAGCAACAGCCTTTTTGGCCATGGCACATATGCAAACACTTCCTGTTGATTGGGAAAAAAATACAAACATGCAATCTCCTCCCCCAACAAGTGACTCATCACCTCTGGCAACTGTTGCGCGGAAGCGCAAACACCACGCGAGCGCCGCGAGCGCCCGCCCTGTTCACCTACCTGCTCGCCCCGGCGTTCAGCACTGATGTTGTCCAACATCAAGGTGAGGAGGTGTGTCTTCACCCGCGGATGGCCAGAGACCTGGTAGAGGGATGCACACAGACTGATCCTTCGGCTGGAGGTGATCTCGTTGCGATAATTAGCATCAAAAGGACAAGGAATTAGGACGTATCATGGTCACCATACTCAGGATTCGCAAAGTGCGTGGCCATGCACTCAGCGGCGTGAGTGCGGCCCTTATCGTAGGTGACTCACCAGATTCCTTTCCGTCAACCGTAGCATGAATTCCACGCACTAGGGCGTTACAGCAAGCTGAGTGGCTTGGCCCATTTATGTATTATAGCCTATAGCCGCTTGGAACTCTTCAGGGGAACAACCCCAGTCCACGGAAAGCCAGCACAAACCCTCCTGCAAGTCATGCTGGTCAAATATGGCTGAAGAAGCCGGATGTGCTGGTGGATGCTCATTTAGTCTCAAAACAACTCCGGAATGCGTTTTTGAGGGTGTGTGTGTGTGTGTGTGTTCGCGGAGAAACGCAAGAACCGGCCAGCATCGACGAGAAACTCCCTTCACCCATCGACTTGTCTCCATTGACGTCTGGTCCACCGGACGGTGCACCCACTGGTTCTAACAAGTGGAACCAAAAAATGCCCCTGGTCCCCTGTTTCGGAGGTCAAACAAAATCACTGCCGCACCACTCGCCTTCTCCCTGAAGATCATCAGCCCCATCTCGTAGACAGGAACCTCTTCAAGTCCAATGCCCAAAGCGAAAGACTAGTCCTGGAAAACCTTCCCGCGACAAATGTTTCTGATGCCTCTTTGTAAAACGTTATAGAACTATATACATGTTCATTCTCAATTGAGACCGTCCCCTTGTAAGACTTCATTGTGGCTCTTGCGAATAGTCCGACTGATTGGGAGGCTAGGCTCCTTGTACACTGCATGGTTTGCTTCGATGGGAACTTTGGTCAGTCTTTCTCACATGTTTGACCAGGACTGTGTTCGTCTCATCAAGCTCCACACTGCTTGTCAGCCTGATAAGGGTATAACTACATTTACATGGTGCACGACCCCCGGTAGGCCGTGGCGTTTCGTGTGGACGGACCGTCTAATTGAACATGCGCACGGTGCTGTAGCGCCACTATCATTTTCAAAGATACAACTGCAAGTTCCACGTTTTGCGAAGTCACAAAACTACTTTGTTTTGCACTCACCGGCTCTGCTTAGCGACGTTGCACAGCTCGTTCATTATGTTGGCCCCACCGACGTCATTATGTTGGCCAACAATGTAGACCGACGTCATTGTGTTGGCCCCACCCCCCACCCCCCACCCCAACAATTTGCAGCTCTGACCGTCAGCAACTGTCCATGTCGTACGTGTTGTTGTTGCAAGTAAGCAAGTTTACAGACATCAGAGAACTTCCAATCCATACCCAACGCAGCATCAACTTGGCGAATGGCAAAAACGTGGAAATTCTCCACCCACGGGTACAATTTAGAGTGTAACATAGCAAACATTTTGTGACTTCAATTCACATGCGAGGAGCTAGCATCATGTTATGTGCAGTTTGAGATATGTTTTATTGTTGTGCAACGCATGCAGTCTGAGATATGTTTTATTGTTGTGCAATGCAACGAAGACCTGGAGCGGGGATGCAAAAAAGCGTCGAACAAGTAAAAATCGCAAGAAAAACACACGGCCTACCGGGGGTCGTGGTCCAACTACATATAGAGAGAGAGAGAGTAGATCATGATGTGGATCAGTTTCGCAGTTCTTGGCTCAGTCCACGTGTTGACCATCGGCGAATCCGGCACAACGACATCCATCAGCGCCAAAAACCCTCGAGAAGCTTCGCTGCTAGCCGCTACATCAGTCCAAGGCGAAGGCGGAGTCCGCCAGGCCTTCTTGTACTGAGTCACAAAGTTCCTGTCCATGTACATGAGGATGTCCCTGATCATGACCTGAAAATAACGCAGACGATCTTTGATCTGCCGATCCCCCAAAAAACCTGAAATCTCCGAGAGGTTAATTTCGCCTGGTCTGTTTGGGCGGCTTCGTGAAGGTCCTCAACTACATGGATTGCACACAGATCTTCATGACTTTATGACGAATCACACGTTCCGGGCAGGAACAGTACTCTACACTGCATCTCACAAACGTGCCAGATTCTGCCAGGCAGAGTGGCAGAGTTGCGTGTCCCTTGGTCTTTTTCATGAAAAGACTGTCTGTTGTTCAAGTCAATGATTGTAGGCCAGCTCAACAACTGTGTTGTTGCCCTTCCGTAGACGCCTTGTGATGATTTCCGCTGAATCAGTTGCTGTTACCATCGGCCAAATCTGCTACTAAGCCTGCTTTGAAATTGGCTGTCCAAACTCATACCCTGAATGCAAATGCACCCAAATGCACTTCCAAACCAAAACTGCCTTCTAATGCCCGCATTTCACCACTGTTTGGGCACTTCCCTGTGGGTGAGATGCTTTCCAAGGCCAGCCAACAGTGACTGGGCAGCCAAGGCCATAGTGGTCTTGTGGTCATCCCACTGCTTTTTCCTGGCCGAGAAGATCTGCTCGGTGACCTCCTTTATATATTTACATAATTGATCCCAAGAAACATTCCTACCGCCTCCTTTCGTCATCAGTTCAAATCGATTCAATCATCTGCAATCCGAGCTTGACGACCCGGCGAGGACCATTGGTGGAATGTCTTTATAAACCGAGATTTGTGGTGTCATGACCCACCTGCAGCTGACATCCACCCGCAAGGGCACTCCAACTCGGAAAACAAGGTGTCCGTCATTTGTAAGGGGACCTTGTAATTAGGTGGAAACCCGCAGGTGTTGACTACACACTTCATCTTGAGGATGTGCACCTTGGGCATAGGGTTTTGATTGCCATATCACCAGGCGGGCTATAAATAAAACTGGCCAGGCAAGCAACTCTTCCAAGAGCCGATCATCTGGACCTGCTTTGGCACCGAAGCGGGAGGAAGAATCGCAGCAAAGCAAGTATAGTCAGACACTTGGCTGTCACTTGGGTGTCCAAATTAAACAAGGATAGTCTGCAATTTGCCTGTTGAGTGTCCAATTATATAATTGATGGGAGCAGGCCATCTGCACTCTTTTCAAGGCGACCAAACAAAGCTAGCCTCAACAGCCAAGCTAACCACAAGTCTATAATCATTCAAGTACAGAACGCCACTCTTGCGGGCTGGGTATGTGGCAATAATATATATAATTCCACCTACGTCGCATCTTGGGGAAAAATGGAATGTGCTTTGGTGGGGCTTGAGGCTTGAAGCTTTATCAAAAAAATATGCGTTCGTGATGCATCTAGGTGATTGTAGATGGACTCTAAAGGACCACATCAATAAGTCAGTGGTAGGCCTTAATCCCTTCTGGCAATCGTCCAGCTTCACCTCAGAGCTTACACGTGTACAAATAAAAATTAGAACATGTTTGTTCTTAATTTAGATGCACTGCTTAGATCTACCCAACACCTTGAGCAAGGGATGTGATCGAAACCCGACAGCATGGCAGGCATCCCTGGTAGTCTGCCTTTTCTGTTTTTCAGGGTTGACTAGGGACTTTCTCACTACTCATTACTATGGACTTCACTTTTATGCAGAAGATGATCCGGAATTGACATGAATGAAGAATGTCTTTGGTTTCGCCGTAGGCTAAGAGATGCATAGAATGCTGGCAAATCACTTGATACCATCCTGCGACAATACGTCCGCCAGCAGTGAATTAAGTGGTTTAATCAAGAACATATGCTTGTATCTATCTTGATGCCACAAAACATCTTCGATCTTCATAGATATCAGCATGCATTTTGAATAGTGAATCTATAAATGTAACACTCACTCAACGAGGGTTTAGGGTCGACCCGTCAAACACATAGACCCGTCTCCTCCGGTGGACGATGTCGGGGTGCGACGATGTCCCCCCCCTCCACGTCCACTCAGTTCGACCCCCGGCGAACAAATGCGTACGAATGCGTACAGTAGGGGTCTTTCAATGAAATTTACAAGTCCAAATCGCACCACCCAAACAGCGACATCTCCACTTTTTCTCCGCCATCCACTTCGTAGACAGTCTCTGAGATACCCGGGCACTCGATGCAGCTTTGTGCCACGATCTTCAGATGATCCGCCACCACTCCCTGGAATTGGCGGCCACGCAGTGAATGATGGCTCCAAGTCTGACCAGGCCACTGAAATTGAGACGAGTATGCAGCATTTGGGCTATTGTCTCCTTGGGCCAAACATTCCTGACATTTCCTGACTATATGATATGTCTTTGAAGTGTGGACGCTTCTTGAAAGTGGAGTCAATTCCTTGTGTGTCCCGTCATGCACCTCATCTTCAGTCAAAACTCAAACTTCTGGCTGCACATCACCCACTTTGGGCCACGCACCCAGTGGCACTCTTTGCGCCTGGACACCGTTGTAGAGAAGCTCGCCGTACCTGAGAGCGAAAACCCGGTCGACCTGTCCCAGCCTTCCGGACTCCCCCCCATTCCAATAGCCCATGAAGAGGCCATCGAATCGGAATGTGGTCCTCCAAAAAGAGCGAGCCTTTTTTCTTTGTGAAACTGTGAAACCATTCCAACTGCATGGGGGAGGGGCTTTTGAAAGAGCCATATTGATTTTGCATTCAAACAAGCTATGCATACACGGAGTAAGACACATCTTCCATCAGAAACAGAACCGGTTCTCCTCTGGTCGTGGTCCTGTCCGAAATGGGCATCACAGCTTCATTGCTGCCTGCTCCTCCAGCTATCAAACACTGCCTGCTGACGTCCCAGAGGGGCTCAACTCCAACCATCAAGCTGATCTCAATGTCTAGCAACCGCACGGGGACCGCTGGCTAGAAGCATCTTGTGCACTTCCGTGTGCACTTCCGTGTTCACGTTTGGTTTGCTCATCAAGTCGGACCCTATTGGTTGGATTGAACGTACTCCGGCATGACTTACCTGCAAACATACATATGTTGCTGCTGCGTTAAGGTCTATCAAAGCTGCATAAAATGATATTTTGCCACTGGCAATGCTGGTGCAGATCAAGTTCATTCAAAATCTACTGGGTTTCTCTGGCATAGTTGTAGACATCCTTCCTTTCTAGCGTCTGTGTTAAAGAATCTACTGCAAAGAGCAAATAGGCAGCAGAGCTTTGACCTAGACCCTTCCTAGCCAAGTGGCTTGTGCAACACCAAGTTGTACGCATTCCGATAGAGCTCCTTGTGCGACGAGGCCAAAGGACAAAGGACTTGGAAAGAAAGCAATCCTGTCATTTGTTTGAAAAACATGTCGAACACATGAAAAGAGGGAGGAAGGCAAGAGCCCCTCTAAAAATATCCCACCGCAATCCCATGTTCTTCCGAGCATGTTTAAAAAACATGTGAAGTAGAGACCTCAGATATCTGCATGATCTTGGCTTAGAATGCTTAGAACAGGTCGCGGTTTATGTTTCTCATCTGGCCAGACCGTCAATGCATTTGCTCCTCGAAGGAGAGCGAAGAGGCATTGTGCTGGTGAATCTGATGAATGGCATGCCGGAGGCATTCCCACCTGTCACCAACTGACCAACCAGCTGACAACTGAATGTCTTGGCACAAGCAGTGCACATGCCTACTTACCACCTATAACCACCAGCGCACTGGCTTCTCACATAGTACGAGCTGCAATTAAACATATTCTAGGGCGCGAATGGCAACCTTTGCATCCATGGACCTGGAAAAGAAGGCAAAAACCATCAACGACACAACTACTCACTGAAGAAAGAAAGAAAGTTGGCCGAGTTGCCGTGATGCAACTGGGATCAGAAAAAGCACAGAGCAGCGATTTTGCTTACTTGATGTTTCTCGATCCTGTCTTGAACTGTCCGAGTGTGTTTTCCTTGCAGTTGGTCACTGCTTCTTACGCACTCTTCCAGCCCCTCTTTGCACTCCAAAGCATGTCGGCGTTGCGTCCGGTTTGACTCCTGCACCAAGTGGACAGATTTGACTTTGTCACTCTCTGAACGGCTTGGGGCGGACCGTCAGTCGCGGTCGTCTAGTCGCTTCGAGTCGGATGAAAAAACAGATCCGCGGTCGACCACCGGTTGAAAAGGCACGAGCAACTTGGTAAAATATGTTGCCAAATCTGCTAGGTCTCGCATGTCCTCCTGGGAGTTAGCTGAAGCTTGCCGGGGTTGGGAGGGGTGATGATGATCATGGCCCAGACACTATCCAACCTCCCTGTCTCCAAGAACAAGCCAACAATACCTCAAACATCTGTTCCCGCCGTCCGGACCACTGTCAGTCGTGCCAGGTTCGTCTTTGGCTCCTTTTCATCCATGGGATCACCCGAGCGAAACTGACGAATGCTTCCTGGATGCGAAGCAGTCGCGTCGAAAAGCCATGGCATGCTGCCCATGGTGCAAGTGGGCGACAATGGCGAACGGAATAAAAAACCCAATCTGAAAATAGGCTTATTTGGAATAAGTATGAAGCCAACTGAAGCCAGCCCCAAGCGGATTGGGGTTAACAAGAAAACGGAAGCCAGCCCCAACTTGCAAACCCCGGTGTTGTTCTGGCTTCCCTGAGAGCCCGGCCATTGCTGGACTTGTTCTTTCCGCCCAGGTTCATGGCCGCGAGGCCCTGGATCGCCGTGATTCTTTCGGTCACATCCATCTTCAGTGACGCATTGGAGCCATGGGGCTAATGGCCAAACATTGCCCTCGTTTTTTGCGTCTGACGAGGCGGCGCCTATCTTCAAAAGGAATACCTCGATCATTAGCAATAATAGTGCGGTGAGAGAGGTTATAAGATGTTATAGTGTTTGTCATAAACTTGCATGTCTGGTTGCACATGAAAGTCCTCTCAAGCTCGCAGCGTGATTTTTTGTTTTGAAGCTGCTAGGAGGGTGTTTCCCTGTTTCACGGGAACTGGAAGCGTTGGCTGCCACGGCTCCACCGAAGAAGCGTCAAGGCTGTGAGCAGGGTGGATCAAATGGACACTGGATGGTCATTCACCATGTGGACAAACGTGCGTTGGCTCCCTCGATTAAGAATACCGAGCTGGATGAACCTCGAACATGTTTTAGTGTAGGTGTGTGAGGATAAGCCTCGCTTAAGCCTGTTCTTTTGGAATGCAAACATCTCATTCTTTGTTGATAGGTTAGTAGACATTAGTAGACTGGGGTCTCGTGATCCCACTCCAGTTTCTTCACCTCCAACGCCATCTTCGGGCTTTTGGCTTATGGGGCCGCCGATCCGATGAGCTGCAGCCTTTCACCCCCCCTGGGCCTGGCCGCGTGGGCCACGAAGCGTGGGCCACTGGTGGTGTGGTGCTGTGTCTGATGAGATCACCACGGTCACCAATGGTGCTTGGGTGTGGTTGTGGCTGTAGGGCCGATGGCTGGGTTGGTGGAGGTCTCTGCTTTGCTGCAAGTTGTGCCTTTCTCTTTTGAGCCAAAGAGACTCCAACGGCGAAAAACTCTGCGCCTGCTGCGACTAGGCAGCCAGATCCACTTCGCTGACATGCCGATGCGTTTGATGCTCATGGTTGCTCAGGGGGTTCCTGGTGCAAAGATTCTCAACTGCTCCCTCCAATCCCAGGTACCTAAAGGCCTTCCACGCGTTGCCGAACACATTTCTCGATCACACACTTTTGGGCTTGCAGCGGGTGTCCGGCTCAGGCCAAGTAGTTGTAGACCCTCCTGAACGGGACTCACCATGTTTTTGACCTCTCCAACCGGGTACCCCCTCAGCAATACGTGACTAGTAGCATAGAAGGTCCACCAAGGAATTGTAGGCTAGCAATAAGTGGGGTCGGTTTAGGCTCAAAACCTTTGATTCCTAGCCTAAACCACCCCACTTTTATTGCTAGCCTAAACCTTTTAATGCACTAAGTGGGGTCGGTTTAAGTCCATCTCTTCGATCACCTCTCTTTGATCCCCCGTCATCTCATTTCCCCGTCTCGGCGTGGAGGGTGTTCGGGCATTCTCTTGTCTTGCTGCGGAGCGTAAAAGAAACCTGCTTGGTTTGGAGGCCAAGAACACATACCAACAAAAATGAGATGGAACATTGAACCAGAAGCCGACCAAGAGATGGGTATACAACCCCCTTTTTTCCCATTATTGAGGCTTATGATTCGCTTGTGATAAGTATTAAACACAGAAAAGCTATATCATCCAGTTTGAACTGGAAGATCTCAATTTTACAGTGAGATGTCAAGATTTTGAGATGTCTAATTCCTTTTCGGTTACACACACACTCTCATTGAAACAGTTTGGCCCTGCTCCGCGAGACCCCTACTTAGTTATAGTCTTAGTCATCTAACCCGATTTAAGAGGATTTCTCACACAGAAACAAGATTAAAAGTGGCAAAGCGCCAGCGAGGCGTTTGATGAAGCCAGTTTGGCTGGACGGAGCAGTACTTTCGGGCCAATTTGCCAAGTCGGACCCATACTAAAATAATTAAGCGTCAGTTGTTCCTTGATGTAAATTGTCAATTGTTTTTTCCGGAAACCCCAAGCGCATCGCTACTAGGAGCAAAGGGCATCGCTACTAGTAACAAGGACGCTATTAGTGGCTCCTGGCATCGCTACTAGGAGCATTCTTACTACTAGGAACAAGGACGCTACTAGGGGCTCTTGGCCGTACTACTAGTAACAAGAAGATTGGGCTTGTGAGAGTCGAGTCGGGGTTTCGTGAGGGTTCCTGCGCCCTTGGCTTTCAAGGGGTGAGGGGCGAGTTCCGCTTTTTCTTTGGCCGTTTCATCTGCAAAGCGGTGCTCATTTTGGCACACAAGCACACGCACCGTGCATACAAATGTGAACCAAGGTCAGTCAACAAGCCAAGTCTGAAACAAGCCATGTCATATCAGGAATTGGTTCTCAGAGAAAACATCAGGAATTGGTGTCCAACTGTCTTCCCCAAACTGTCTGGTTGATGTTATGTCTGGGCAACTGTCTGGTTCATGTTCATGTCCCCTATTTCAGAAGAGACGGAGTCTTGCCAAGACCCCGTGAAATGACTTGTATATGGCCCACCGAACTTGACGCGCTACACCACCACAGAACTGGCATAGCGGAAAATGGTTGTGATTTGGCTAGACATGGAGTCTCACTTCTAAAGTGGATAAATATTGTTACCTGTGTAAGTACAAACCAGGCATGGGCGGTAACCAACTTCGGATTTCGGAGGATCTACTTTGCAGGGAGGGGCAGGTCCTGGACATGGCATGAGCATGATCAATGATCGAGCGTGCTGGAGGGTTTGAACCTCCGGCGGACCTCGAGATGGAAACAAGTCTTCTACAAAGGGTTTCACTGGATGATGTCTGGATGTTTCTTCTAGTTCTAAAGGAAGGATTCGACTGAAGAACAACAGATTAGCATGAAGACATGGAAAATTCATTAAGTCCTGTGGTTTTTCACACATACAAAAACTTAAATTGCAACAGCTGTCAGCGCAAGAATTTGTGCCCATGCCCCTCGGCCTGTCTGTTTGCGATCGTTCAAGGTACCTGCCCCAGCACGGCTGCCAAAGAGGCAACAAAAACCCTCTGCAACGATAGTTGGGGATGCATCACATATGTGTGTGTGTCTTGTTGGTGAAATGAGTTTCTGAAAAGGTGGTTGGTTCCAACGGGAAAAGGGGAGCCTTCGAATGAGTGCAAGAGACGCCGACTCTCAATTCTTCTTGGAATGAAAGCATCAACAAGCAAAAAGATTAACCCCGTATCCAGTACAATCATCTCAAAATATATACAAACTAGGTGCTTAGATGGCTGTGGATTTTCTCATTGTTTTTAGATCTTGGACCTTGAAGACTTTGATGTTTTCTGACATTTGCGTCATTGAGGCCTCAACCTGATCGGGGGAAGTTTGCAATGGCTTCGCTGCAACGAGAAGTACATTGTGTTTCTTGTTGGCAACCCCCCCAAACATCCCCAAACTACTTTGTTTTGAAGAACGAAGGACAGGAAAAAAAATATCCCGGCAAGAGACCCCAAACAGTGTGTGTGAGGTCTGTAAGCAGAAAGTCTAGAGATCTAGACGCATTGGGGTCCAGAGAGGTGATGGTGGTGATGAACTGAAGGTGGGTGTGAGTGAGTGTGGGTGAGAGGGAGCGTGAGTGTGAGTGAGAGTGGGAGAGAGTGCGAGTGAGTGCGAGTGTGAGTGGGAGTGAGTGTGGGTGAGAGTGAGAGTGAGAGTGAGAGTGAGAGTGAGAGTGAGAGTGAGTGCGAGTGTGAGTGTAAGTGGGCGTGAGTGAGAGTGAAGGTGGGTGTTAGTGAGTGTGGGTGAGAGTGAGAGTGAGTGGGAGTGAGAGTGGGAGAGAGAGCGCGAGAGGAAGTGTTGAGAGTGAGAGTGTGAGGGAGTGTGAGTGTGAGTGAAAGTGGGAGAGTGAGAGTGTGTGAGCGAGGGTGGGAGACTGCGTGAGTGCGAGCGTGAGTGAGAGTGAGTGTGAGTAAGAGTGAGTGTGGGTGAGAGTGTGTGTGAGTGAGGGTGAGAGTGAGTGTGAGTGACTGAAGGTGGGTGAGTGTGGGTGAGAGTGAGGGTGAGTGTGAGTGAGAGTGAGAGTGGGAGAGTGAGAGTGAGAGTGAGAGAGTGAGAGTGAGAGAGTGAGAGTGAGAGAGTGAGAGTGAGAGAGTGAGAGTGAGAATGAGAGTGAGTGAGTGTGAGTGAGAGTGAAGGTGGGCGCGAGTGAGCGTGGGTGAGAGTGAGTGTGAGTGAGAGTGCGAGAGTGAGTGAGTGTGTGGGTGAGTGAGTGTGCGTGTGAGTGTGAGTGCGAGTGTGAGAGTGAGTGTGGATGAGAAGGACTGTGAGTGAGAGTGAGTGAGTGTGAGTTGGAGTGCAAGTGAGAGTGGGAGAGTGAGTGCGAGTGTGAGTGAGAGTGGGAGTGTGAGGGAGTGTGAGTGTGAGTGAAAGTGGGCGAGTGAGAGTGGGAGAGTGAGAGAGTGAGCATCTGAGAGTGCAAAGTACTGCACCTGCCACAAAATCTGCACTTCGAGGTTCACCAAGTGCTGCGCCTGCCACGAAATCTGGACTTCGAGGTTCACCAAGTGCTGCACCTGCCACGAAATCTGCACATCGAGGGTCACCAACTGCTGTGCCTGCCACGAAATCTGTACTTCGAGGTTCACCAAGTGCTGCGCCTGCCACGAAATCTGCACTTCCAGGTCCACCATGCGCTGTGCCTGCCACGAAATCTGCACTTCGAGGTTCACTGCTGTGCCTGCCACGAAATCTGGACTTCGAGGTTCACCAAGTGCTGCACCTGCCACGAAATCTGCACTTCCAGGTCCACCATGTGCTGTGCCTGCCACGAAAACACTGCTTGGGGAAAAAAAAGAAGGACAAGGAAGCGAACTAAAACGGAAATTCAAGACAAAACAATAATAAACAACGACAAGAAAACTGCGATCCATGACACTGCAGACATTGTTGTGTTGTTGTGTTCGAGTGTCCAGCATCAAGTTTACACGAACTGTTGTCCCATTTTTCACGAAGTGCCATTTCATCCACAAGTCTATAGTGTTCCAGTTTCCAGAATCGAGTGCACAAGTATGCATGAACAGTCGTTTCATCTTCCACCCCGCCACCCACGAGAAAGTGTGTAACCATGAATGAGAGTGACGCTGCATCGAAAATGCATAAAACATCCCTCATAAGAGGAAAAACGAAAGGAAATCTTGTTTCGATTGCATGCGGAAGGCTGCGGTCCCGGTACCTCTCCCCCCTGCGCTACAAAATCTACACTTCATGCACCTAACTCTGGGCGATGCTGGCTACATCGCAGTTTCTGCAGCTGGGGTCGAGGGATGTTCCAAGGATGAAGTCACATGAGGCTACAACAGTCACTTTGGAAACTGAGTCACTGAGAAAGTGCTCGTACACGACCTGTCTCTTATAATCAGATAGCCTTTGGGATGTGGAAGATGCGAAGGAAGCGGTGGCAGGATTGCAGGCTTGTGACCACCAACCTGGACCCGCATGTAGTGAGGCCGTCCAGTGTTGCCTACCTACTATGCCTCCCTGAAACAATCATGGAAATGGAAAACCAGCTCTGTAGAGGAAAGTGGTCATCCAAGGGCCATTCTCAACTCCCACGATTATTCCACAAACAGAAACAAAAACGCAAGGTCCTGTCTTGCTTCTCATGATCCTTGCGCACTTCCCCGAATCTTGAACGCCGAGATTCACTTCAGGTCACGTCCACTTCGAAGGATTTGCCGACGAATGACGCCGATCTTGTGAACCAGACCCTACGTGTATATATGTATAAATTGAAACGGACCAAATATGCATATATGCATTTTACCTAGGTCCCTCCCTGCCTGCATTGTCCTGAGATGAGGGATATAAAACCACTTGAAAACCCATAATTAAATTCATTTAAATTCATTAAGCATAACATAAACAGAAATTTACAAAGCCCTAACACTCTCCCCAGTGGCCCTCACGGAAATGGCAATACTACTGTAAAACTCGCGAACCACCACGAAACGCCATGGCCGTCTGCACACCGTGGTCCGCCGGAAAGTACATGCTGGCAAAAAGGCTGTTCATATGCTGGCTATTCCCTTGTGGACATCTGGCTATTCCCTGGCCCAGCTGAACCTCTGCAACAAAACAGTGATCTTCATCTCAACCCTTTCATGTCAATGGCAACGAATGGCAACGAATGGCCGTGTCCATCAACTTTCACTCATGACCTGCATGTCGATCTGGGCCCCTCAAATGGGTCATACGGAGTGAGTCCTGGGTCGTCACCCGGTGAGTCACGACGGCGCACTCTCGTTCGATGAGCTTCTCGATGCGCTGTTTAATGAGGGTCCTTGGAGCTGCGGGGACCCCTTGGTGTGGTCAGCTGCTCTGAAGGTCTGCTCCCCAGGTCTGCTCAAACAAAGGGAACACGACATGTAAGTGAACCAAAGAAGCCATAAAAAAAACTCTACATTACAAGCACGTCAAAAGCTGCGCTACCAGTGATGATCTAGAGCCCGCCGAGGGGTGGTAGGCTTTGAGGAGATAGACCTAGACCTAGGACGTAGGAAGCTACTAGTACCCGCGGCGCAAGAATGCTCAGGCTTCTTGGACACCCTCTAGATTTGGGGAGAAACTTATAATTCAATTATTTTAGATCTATTGTATCTGTTTAAGTCCTCAATTTGATGCATGTCATCTCACCCAACATCCATTGACTCAACCGACCAACTGCCCTCTCTCTATATCTCGCTGTGCGGCGGTGATGGCTGGAACCTGGAGGTCAAATGTCGGGTCACCTGCGGAGCGAATCACCGAGAGGCTCCCGCTGCCCAGCTTGGGCAGCAGAAGTGATTCACCGCCCAGCTGGATGGGGAGGATGGGGATGCGGATAATGATGGCGGAAGGAGGAGATCGCTTCACCACAGGCATCGGATTTTGCGAAAACCCCGCCGCGCGTTACTCGAAAGCAATCCAGCATGGTGGCTCAGCCTGACCCGATTCTCGTCCAAATCAAACCGAAACGCCAAGAAATCAGGAGCAGGTTTGGGTCAGCCACATCTAGAACAGAAGTCATCGTCCATCGTCTCGGACTGGCCGTTCCTTCTTGGATTCAAACAAACCACGCTGGTTGTGCCCCAAAATGCGGTCCTCCATGACAAGCTGGTTGTGCTCCTGATGAGTCGAGGAGCTGGACCGGGTGGTCCCACACCTTCCACTACCGCGACCGGCCGCATCATCTCTCTAGAAACATGGGCCGCTCTCGGCCGGGTGACTACCATGCCATAATCCTTCCTTATTTTGGGTGTTTATAGAATAAGTTTTTAAAAAATAGAAATATATATATATTATATATGTTGTATAGATGCAAGAGATGCGGTAGGTTGACACGAAGTGACTGGAACCTAACTCATGCATCCAGCTCGTGCACCGGTCTACACTGTCTGCGCAAAGCCTACCTGACACTATCCCTACATATCCCTACAATATTTGTCAATGTCTTTAGAATCCGTAGCAGGCAAACTGCCGGTCAAAAAGAGAGTTCACCTCCGACACATGAAACTGAGCTCCACCATATCTGTTGGTACCCTCCAAAAAAAGGTACAGTACAACTTTTTTGTAGCGCTTTACTAGAAAAAGAGGTTGTTCCAAAGGTCCATGCGACTGCCCAAAGCAAGACCGACGAGAATCAAACCCGCCACTCCAGCGTCTTGCGACTCTTCATGACGCGCACCACAACCGCCTACAGGCGCTTGGCTGCCATAGCGCGTTATTGCACATTAGGAGCTCTGTGTCTCTCAAAAGAAGGGACCCACCTAGAATTGCGTCTTAAATTTCCTGGATCTGGGGGTCAAAAGGCAGGTTCACCGAGAGTGAACTAGTCAATTTGAGGCCTCCCGAGCGAAGCGTTCAAGTCTTCAGTCTTCCTTTTGAGATACCTTCGCAAACGCTGTATTCACTTGACATAGGTGTCGCAAGGGTACCCATAAATGAACAGTCCAAGTCTGCAAACTTCCAGATGAGGCGCAACGGGATACCCTATAGCAAAACAGGCGCAAAGCTTGTCATGTTTCACTCGGACAATGTGGTAGGCTGAAATAGACCTGAGAGTAGTTGTATAAGTGGTTGGTGGTTTCAACTGAGTTGAATTAAAAAAATGTCAGTGGTTCAATCATCCCAAGTAAAGGTTGAACTTTGCAATCTTGAAAACCACCACCCAAAGAAGCGTATCTCCACCCACGTCCACTAGGTGAGGCCTCCACCAGGTGCTTCCGATCCTGGAAGCCCACGCCGGGTGTTCCAAGCAACATGGGCATGGACCCAGCGGGTCCAGGGAGGGTAGGCCATCGCTCTGTGTGGTTGGATCTGTGTTTTTCTCGGACAAAGAGTCATAGCATCACTTTCCTTTTGTCGCACCTGCCGAGGAATCTTAGTCAGACACTCTCATGGGGGAACACTTTTTTGGGTGGATAGTGAGAGCTCCTGACATCTTGCAGGAAGATATGGCAGGATGCAAAAGGAGAACATAGGAGAATATTAGGGCGAGACAAAAGTGTGCGGTCTTTTGAACCTAGTAGCATCCGATCGCTCCTAGTAAGGCCAGGAGCCCCGTTCGTAGCGTCCGATCGCTCCGTTCGTAGCGATGCCCTTTGCTCCGTTCGCAGCGTCCTTGTTACTAGCACCTCTTTGTTTTTCGGTGAGTCTTCTTCGATTTCGCCGCCAACACCATTGCCAGGCGCTCCTCCTCCACTGTGGCCGGGACATCGGCACTGCCGACGCCATCGCCAGAAGCTCCCTGCAAGTCGCTTCGCGTGCGCGGGCATCGGCTGGGCATGGCCACAAGTGCAGCAAAAATCGAGTACACACAGATTGCACATTCACCCTTCAGAGAAAGGTGGGATATTATAGGAGGATCCCGGAAGCGAAACTAAGCTCGCTGTGACGGGGGTGTCCCTGATTGTTGACAGTGCCAAGAGATCCGCATGAATTTGACAATGAAGAAACACCTGTATATTGATTCTTGATTCCCTTTGTCAAGAAGTGAGACATTTCTGGCCACTCCACTCCAAGAATCAGGTGCCCCACAGTGTTCCAAGTCTTTTCCCCGGACCTGGTGCAAACATGTTTAGGGCTGGAATTCCACTTTGGTAGCTCACTGCTCGAGTGACCAAGCACAATCCCATGGAATTGGCAGCCGACTTGGTCGCCTCTGCCGAAACGGTGTCAGGGCTCTTCAGCACCAAAGGCACCTGGGCGACCACGAAACGACGGAATGCTGTTCAACAAACATGGGTCAAACATGGTAGCACGCCCCCCCCACACAGCCATGTGTGTGTGGGTCACTTTTTGCTTAAGAAATTGTGGACGTAATTATATACCTCCCACCCCAACAAATGTCCAAAGCATCTATGCGTGCGCCATCATCTCTTTGAACATTTTGAACGAACTGTGCAAAAGTTCCAAAATGCAAGAAAATTCTGGTCCAAACTCCAAACACACAAAGGATCTGTGCTCAAGTACAAAGAAGAAGAGGTTGCGCTGATTCAACATAACCACGTGCTGTTGTTTGAAGTGAAAAGGTAAAGGTGAAAACTGTCGTTCCAAGTGCAACGACATCGGACAAACTCTTCTGGTTTAATATAAGTGTACGACTACTAGCGCGGTTGTCAACCCTCTAGCCTCTAGCATTGAAATGCAAAGCATTTCCCTCAGTGGCCCTGCGCAAATACCACACGAATGGGAGCAATCGCTCAAAAACGACAAAAGCGTACGGCAGTGACGGGGCGTGACACCAACATGATCTCTAGTTTGTTCACCTGATCAGATAGGATCGGAGATCGTCGCTCCGACGCACGTCCAGCAGAGTCTCTTTGAATCGCGAAAGGCAGAGTCGACCAATCCGAAATCACGTTGATCGGTACTGTCCACCGATGCTGCTGTCATGACCATTGCAGGTTTTATGAACAAACCCTTTTACAGAGGCCTTTGTGGCGTTTTACACTCGCAAGGATTAGACGGAGGGCCTTCAAACGCCTTGCGGCCTTGCGCTACATGAAGCCGTTAATACCATACCGGTCTGGCAGTGTCGATAACCATGTTTCATGGATTCCTGTCAACAGTTATCAAAAAAAGAATGTGAAAGAAGCAAACAGCCTGCACTGAAAAGAGTGCTAAAACTGCACGCCTTGATCCTCATGAGCTTGTTCTCGAAGTGGGGGTTCACCATGAACCTCTGATTGAACCCAGGTGGCTTTCGGATGCTCCAATGAGCTTTCAGGAGATCATTCATTCTATTCCTGTGGCTTTTCATGGGCAAACCCTCTGTGAGAAGTTGATCTGCAAACCGGCACAGACATGCACAGACAATCATGCTCGCCAAGGCCAATGCCCGCATGAAGTCAGCATGGCCAAGCTGTTTTCATGACCGAATACGGCAAAAAATCCTACGAGCCCACAGCAGTTCAAAAGCCTTGGTACAGTACACTACCCTCTCGTCATTTCGTAGAAGAAAAGATTAAGATACTATCCCGCTTGGCTTTACTTCTTTGTCCGTCTCACGACTCACTCTTGCTCGCGGAAGGGAAGTCTTGGGAGCCAAGCTGGTCGTTGTCCTCGATGTCCTTCAAATGAAGGTGGAAATGAAAGAGACAAGATTGAAGTTGGTCGTTTTGAAGCCCTGCACACGAGGATTCTGAGGCCTGGGGTACCTGTGGAGCACTTCGAGAGTCTCATGAAACTCTCCTATGAAGGTGGTTTTCATGCTGGCTGGATGGGATCACCATGGTGTAACCTGCCAAGGCCAGATCACAAGTCTGCCGATGGAAACACAACGATGTCGGGTTCCTGTTCCGGCGGTTTGCCCGGTTTTGTTCGGTCCCCGTCTTCAAAAGCCCTCTCTTCGACCAGGAACAGCACGCGAACCGTCCGCTTCCCGGGCAAACCGAAGTGTCCTTCTTCTCTTTCTCTGAATCTCTTCTCACCAGAATCTTTGCCTCGGCCAAAGAAGATTGATAGAGAAGCATGAAATACATTCGGTTGCCGCCTTTGACACCGGACCTTCAGACACTCGTCCCTGGCCGGCGGACGACGGACGACGGGACGCCGTGCGCCTTGGGGTTGACGTAGAGGCTCAGAAGATGTCGCTTCAGCTCGTCGAGCGGGATGTTGGTCCGCACTTGCAGATCCTGACAGATGGTCGCTGCCAGCGCCCGGTGGGAGTGCCCAGTGATTCGAAGCGCCACGAGAAGCGCCCCGGTGATTTTCATCAAAAGATGTGGGAAACACGAGGAGAACAAGCGCAGCCCCAAAGAGTTTGTTGTCTGGGGGTGGGATTCCGTCCAAAATGGTCTACAGTTCCCTTCGGGCTTCGAACCGGCCAAAAAAAGAGGGAGACACCCTCAAGTGTACCAATAGAATCCAGTTGGTCTATGGTAACTGGCATCGACCCCTCTGTTCTTCAAATAATTCATGCCCCCCACTCGGACCCTCACTTCTCGCGCTGTTTGAAAGACAATCCCTCAAAAGACGGCCTCGAGAAGTTGCGGCATCGATAGCATGGCTTGGGACAAACGTGCTTCCAATCCACTTCCTACAAGGTTGCAATTCCACTGATGTTGCATAGATTCCATCATAGGTAAGCCTTCTCAGATGCCCAACCTTAGACAGTGCCCAGTGCCAAGGCCAATTCTGTGATGTCTGTATCTGTTTTGACCGACCAACCAAATGATGAAGGAGCGATGCACCCCAGGGAGTGTCAACTTGTCCTCAAGCAACAGCGGCCAAGAAAAGAGTGGAATTACTGTCCCTCTTCCCTACTTTCTAAGTGCAAATACTGACATAGTGAAAGTACCCGAGTTTCTCACCCAGAATTTGTTTCTAGATGTCGTGATCGATTTCAAGGTACACTGCAAATATGATGTAAAAATATGTAAAAATGGTTGCCCTGGAATGCCCTGGAGCTTGGAGGGTGAAAGCTCAAAGAAACGGTCGGGAGAAGAACTGACTGGTCACCTTTGGGCCTTCACCCTGATGGCCACGCAACACCACCACGCTGTCGCTTTTTGTCGGCTCCTTGTAGCTCAACGTGCTGTGCTGGTTGAAGAGCATGAGGATGCACATTTGGTAGGTGGAAACCTCGAAACATTTGGTCAAGGATTGTTGACCAAAAGCATGCGCGAAAGGATGCACGGAAAAGCTCAGGCCACCGGGCACTAAGCTCATGCTTGGACTTTGGCATTTGGGCCTCCGAGCACTGGCACGCCCTTGCTTTTTCACGCGGGCTTACCATGATCTAAAAAAACACACACACAACCAACAGGTGTGCAAAACGATCCAAAAGCACCCTAAGGATCCTAAACCCAGTTCCTTCGAACTGTGATGTGTGAAAGGGGAGGCCTTCAGGTCCGCCATGCCATGTTGTGGCTGCCAATAGAGCTTTCGACCTGGCACGTGTGAAGAAGAAAGACCTGCTGCTCTGCAAGCATAGCTTTGGAGTGGTGCAGGTGGCCACTGTTCATGAACAGCAAGAAGATCAAATGGCCAGCAAAAAGTGGAAGACTGAGAGCGCAATGTGCAAAGCTCAACACTGGGAGAGCCTCGAGTGTCTATGACTAGTAAAAACTAAATATACTAGTATATTTTAAATGTTGTGATATACATAATATATAATACATGAGTCGCCAAAAGGCCTAATTGTAAAGGTCCAAAGACACCATCAAAGTAAGCACGCTGGATTTGGATGGATTTGGGACATTATGGGCCATTGTGGGTGGATTTACTTTATTTCCTTCTGCTTTCTTCTGTTGGGGAGATGGCACCCATACCACCGAAGCCCACAAGGCACCAATCTTCCTGCTAGCCTGTGTGCTTTGCCAGGTAGAAGGTTTCAAATCGTGTGCAGCACTCCTCAGCGGCTCGGGTCCGAGGAAGAATGCTGAATTCCCCCAAGGGTTTCTTTCTACGCGCTGTGGAGACAAAGCGTTGTATATAGTATATAGTCTTTGTAGCCTCGACTTCATAATGTTCTACCAGACACTCTACAGGAATGAAACCTCAGAACCCACTTTTCCTAGACTTTCCTGAACTCTGCGACGACTGCGTCCGCGTGACGCTGTGGAATGTCCCGGTGTCCCACCGGTCGGGGCGGCCTGCACTTCCGGTGGCCAATCGCAGGGCGCTCCTGGAGGGCCTAAAGGGCCGATGGTGACCCGTTGCCAGGATCCGGACGATCCGGGCCTGGAGGGCCTGCACTTCCGGATCATCTTGACTGGGACGTTTGGTTACAAACCTACTCAGATTGTGACGGTGGACACGTTTGTGTTTTTTTCGTTTGAAGAAGAGAGATCACCTCAAGAGGTCACTTCGTCAATGTCGCTTGGCAGGGTCTCCCATTCTTCCTTGGGCTATCCCCTCACCAGGACTGAAAAGTGTCTGGTCCATTAAGAATAGTTCTTCAGTTGGAAAGAGAGCGTCGGGTCCAATGAAGATATCTGATGAGCAATGGCTGGCACATGGCTGGTGCTGGCGGAATCACGAGTCCACCCGGTCTGGCCCACCTGGCCAGAAGCCGCTGGTAAGCACCGAGACCTGAAGGAAATGGAGCTGGGTTGACAGCCGTGGCCCGTGGCCATCCCGTGGCCCCACAAGGGCCGTAGAGGGCCGTGGGGGGTCACCATGTTCACATCCTGGACGCAGGGAATTGGAACCAGGTTTGGTGCTCATAGAGTTTTTCCCTGTCCATTCATGCACTGATCGTCGGAATTCATTTTTGCGTCTGGAGCCTGCGTATCAATCTCCTTCTCAGGTCAATATCAGAGTACGTATTATTTAAGTATAGTTAAGAACAAGGACCAGGAGGAGACGGACTGCTTTGCCCTAGTTGTTGGAACTTGGCTCAGGTAGTGCCTCGGGCTTTCCAGCTCAGGAACCCACTTTTGGTATTCGCGTCGTCTCCAGGGGTCAAACCACCCCTGGTGAGACCAGGGCACTGCCAGGGCACAGGCCACAACCCAACCATGTTTAAAATTGGTATTGTCTACCAGGAATTTTGAGCTTTCGTGGACATGTGTGTGTGTGTGCAGTCCACACTCACCAAGGTACCAGTATGTTCTTCCGCGTGTGGAACCCTCCTTTCTGTGTCCTTTTAAGTTCGTAACGCAACCCACACGGCGCCAGCCGATGAGTGGTCGCGCCTTTAAGTCGATGGAGGAGGAGGCCGATGACATGGCAGGCGTGCCTAGACTCGACGAGGACTGGCAGGCATACCGTGGCAGGCCTGGTAGTTCATTGGAGTCGATTGGTGGTTCGGTTGGGTGGGCTGAGGTCAATCATAACTCGTTCATGAGGGACGCAAAATTCTGCAGAAAATGCATGGTCGGTCAGGATTAACTTCCTCTAGCAGGTTTAGGAGTCCTCCTGCTTTAGGACAGCGGACTTGGCACTCTTGACGTGCTTGGATCACTGGATGGTGTGTGAAATCGCGTCCGTGCCAACATTTGAGGACCACGTGCCACCTTCGCGTCTGGCCCTGGCCCTGCCCCTTGACCCTCGAGTCTCGCCAAGCGACGGGAGGCGCGCCTGAGGCCGCCAGCATTTGTTTTGAGGAAGAAAGGGGTAGTCGAGCATGAGAGAGATCTGTAGATGGATAGATAAATCATGAGAGATATCTGTAGACCAGCTTCTTGTTACTACTAGTAACAAGTGCCACGCTAGTAGTAACACGTGCCTTACTACTAGTAACAAAAAGCTATTAGAAACAAGTGCCTTACTTAGACCGTTCTTTGGAGAGGATCCGTTCTTTGGGGCATGAATGGGATTAGGCTTGGGATGGATCACACACTGCAAAAAAGAAGTGTGAAACTGTGCAAGGTGATGTCTCACCACACTGAAAACTAGAATGGCTTCGGCCTTTTGGCCTCCATGTGTCAGGAGTGTTCCTTGTACAAGCTGCTGGCCTACAGTGTGGCCTGTTCTTCCCCATGCAGTAGGCATAATACTTGAAGGATCACCAAGATAAAATGGGATCTGCAAGTCTGCAAGCACATATTCTAAAGTGAATTATGCAAACCTCACCCAAGAAGTGGTCTCCTCTGGACAATACAATATTGTCCTTTTGAACCAAAATATCAGAACGTAATGCCCTGGTGCAGTTTTCCGCATTTCTAGGATAAGTGTGACTTGTGTTCCACTGCATGTGCAATTGGTTGTTGTTGATTCTAAAATGCCTCCTTATTGCTGGAATTGGGAACGCTTCCAGAAAGTAAAGCAGGCGTTTGCTTTTGAGAGGGAGTGGCAGAAGCTCAAAGTCTGTGGAGACTCTTTAGGGGACCCCAGCCCAGCCCACACGAAGAATCTAAGTGCCACACGAAAGAGCTGGACTCGCAAATGAGTTCTTGTACCTGGTGCCGGTTTTGCCAGCCAAGTCCTCCATTTCTGCATGTCTGCGTCTCACAACAATCAAGTGCGGCGAAAATATTGCAAGTAGTAAATTGTGTGAACATATTACATATATTACATATGTATACTATACGTATGTACATGTACAAATATAGGGATGCGTGTTGGAATAGGGAGACTCCCAAGGTGCCCTCTTCGGACAACTCGGCCCCAAGTGGTTTGGTCTCCCAAGGCTCCACTTCCAAGGCTCTGCCTTGGTCCGGTCAGCCCTCAAAAATAAACGTCCTCTCCTCAGAGGAGACAAAGAAACACCATCTCCCTTGAAAAAACCAGACGCAAACAAATGACAAACAATGACAAACACCTGATCCACGCAGCAATCACAGTCCCACCATGTCCCACGCAACAATGGTGGAGCGCTCAAAACCACTAAATCCAGGCAAACGAGTCGAACGTTTCCCATGTCATGAAGGGGTGGCTGCTGGCCCCTTCCAGGAAACGTCGCACTGCTTCATGATGTCCTCCGACAGCTTCATGTCCTGGAACCTCAAAAAAGGACGACTCCCAGTCGAAACCAGGAACCTCACCACTCAGCTGATGGAACATATTAACCACCAACCCACCAACCCAAGCTTCCTTGACGTGTTTGCCAGATTTCGACCTGTTGAGCTCATCAAACCGTTGATCTCTGAGACCCTGGGTGTGCCATTATGTGGTTGAACAGTTTCAGTGAGAGGTGCACTCACTATGATCAATTCAGATCTTTGTTGCCCACTGAAATCAACCACTTCGAGACCAACCGCAGCACCAAACAAAGACGCGATCCCGGCGCCACCGAGAGCCATGCATCCCCTCCAACTTGGAGGTGTATTGATGTCCACACTCACCTTAGAGGGCCCCACGGTCCACGCTTCTTTGCTCAAAGGCTTCACACAGTCCAGGCTCAAGATGTCTTGCTTTGTCTAGGAGAGCCAGTCATTGTTTAGGCATGTGCGTAACTCTCCATACCACTGGAAGTTACAGTAGCTTGAAAGCACGTCGCAGCTATAGCGGTTGACCAGTTGAGCCAAGGTCTCACTCTTCCAGAGGACTTTGCACCGCACAGGCCAAGAACAAGGAGGAGTCTCCCCGCTAGCATTCGCAGCATTGGCATCTTGCTCTTACCCCAAGGAATAGAGTCTATTAAAATGGTTTCCCTTGGATTGCAGGCTTGTGCAGTATTTTAAGTTTTCCTACCACTTATATACTAAACAGCCTTGGTTTGATTCTTTCCTGCACGGTTTATCTGAGTCCATCACATGCCTCAATGGCAATGGCTGGGAGTCGGGTGCGGCTTATGAATCAAAATTGCCAAACTCACCATCCCGGGGCCATCCCCAATTCTGTGCTTTGCCCTTCCTCCGATGCCATCCTTTGATTCTCATGACTGGCCAGTATGGAGAACAAACATATGAACAACTGTACGACAATGCCAGCACAAAGAGGGAAGTTCAGCAGGATCTTGTCTCAGCAAAGTACCCGTTTGCCGTGGCCAAGTCGCTCTTCAACTTTGAAATCATGCTTCTCTCCGCTTCATCACTGACACTACGACCTGGCCACGTGACCGAAAACACTCGGAAACCCTGTCTAGCTGAAATCAGCTCTTTGCTTCATTCTACTTGGCAAAGCTGTTGTCCATTCACTGCAGCCAGCTACTGTCAAAACTAAGCAAGCTACCCTACTAAAGGAAGTTTGGGACCATGGTCAGGGTTAGAGCCGGATTCGGAAACTAATCGGTCGGATTCTGAAACTAGGGTTCTGAAACTGGGATTCTGAAACTAGGGTTCTGAAACTTGGATTCTAAAACTTGTATTCTGAAACTGGGGTTCTGAAACTAGGATTCTGAAACTGGGGCTCCGAAACTAGGATTCTGAAACTGGGATTCTGAAACTTGTATTCTGAGACTGGAAAGTCCGATTCTGCAACTGGTATTCTGAAACTGGGATTCTGAAACTGGAAAGTCCGATTCTGCCACTGGCATCCTGAAACTGGTATTCTGCAACTGGTGATCTCCACATCACGCAATAGCGTGTGCCTGTGACTTCATCTTCGAAGCGCATCCAAACCAACGTCATTAGCCCCCCACCCAACCCGCCCTTGTCCCCACATCACGCCAAACCACTCATCATTCACAAAAGTTACGGAATCCTAGTGAGGAAATCCACAATTTTGCGGAATCCTAATTGCGGAACGCCAGTTGTGGAATGCCAGTTGCAGAATCCTAGTTGCGGAATCCTAGTTGCGGAATCCTAGTTGCGGAATCCTAGTTTCGGAATTCTAGTTGTGGAATCCTAGTTGCGAAATCCTAGTTGCGGAATCCCAGTTGCAGAATCCTAGTTGCGGAATCCCAGTTGCGGAATCCAACCAATTAGTTGCGGAATCCTAGTTGCGGAATCCTGCGCAGTTGCGGAACTCGACTTTATCCCCATGGTCAGGGGTCCTTATCACACCAACTAGGCCCATCTCCTACCCAACCACTCCGATGTACATCAGCGGCGGCCTGTAAGGAGGCGGCGTGACAAGTGCTGCTTGTAGAAGTTTTCAAATACATCCTCCAAGGAGGTGGCGAGTTCGCGTCTTCCACATGTGAGGTGGCAGTGCCAAACTGTAATAAATAGCTCTGAAAGCATATACGGCCTCCTACCTGCTAGAAGAAAGTGATCTGTATATAATTAATATATATATATATATATATTCATGAAATTCTGGGTGTGTTGGACAACAAACAAATGAAAGGAAAACAATCCCCCAGCTAGAAGACAAGTTGTGCTCAGTTCAATTGGCTGCTAATTCCCGGACATCAAACGAGGCCTTCATTCACGAGTCTGCGGATATCCAAGGAAAGCTCTTGGTAAACCCGCAATGGAGCAGCAGGTTCATATGCCTTTTCAAAAATATTTGATAATAATTTAATGAAACAAAAGCTAAAAACACAAGGATGCTACACAGTTGGAGGAGTCCAAACACTTCCGATGGATGTCACTCCCTCCGGTGCCGAAAAAAAAAAGTGTGACTCGCTCGTCGGCCTTGTCCTGTAAAAAGCGGAAGACGGTGACGACCTCGGTGACCACCGGCGTGTTTCACCGGTGGGTCAGGGACGGCCCATGTGGGCCGTCCCAAGGAAGACAGGACATATCTCCTGATGTCCTTCCATCAAACATGGAGATGCCCTACCGTCTTGTCTTTCAGGTCAGCAATATCTTCAAGACACGTACCAAAAAGAGAGAGAGAGAGAGAGACAGAGAGATTTAGAATTAAAAAAATAACAATAATAATGACTTCCAACATACCCTGCGCAGTGGCGGTTCACAGAGAACATCCCCTTCAAGGCAGCCATCGAAGTACTGTTCTTTACAAACATAGTTGTCCATTCCCATGTGTGTTTCTTCCAGAATTTGCCCAGCCAGCCCAGATTGAAAATTCCAATGAACACTCACAAGTCTGTCTCCACATCTGCATCGCCTAGCCTCGCCTGCTCTAGTGCAACGTCCACATCTGCATCGCTGGACATGCCCTTCAAGCCCTTTCGGAACCTGAAACACCGCTTGGGCAGTTGTTGCCAAAGCTAGTGCAAGAACCCTCTAAGAGTTGAAACAGGCCCATCCAAGTAGTAAGTAGTACTGCTGCTATGGCACCTATAACCTATAGGTCAAAAGCTCCTGACTAAGGATTTGAGGTGGCCCTTCCTCGGACAATCATAGATCATGAATGATCATGATCTTTATGGGTTGGCATCTCACCTGTTCCATGTTGGCAGAGATTCCAGGCAACTTCTTTGTTTGGGGTAGCTATATACCCTGATAATTGGCAGATACAACGTGCTCCCACTGGTATGTCTCTGTAAGACTTGGCTAGGTCAGGATAAAGTCCTTGAGTTTCTTTCAAGTTGGAGTTTGATCTTGTGCCACCTATACAAGACATCCTTTTGAATAGAATGCGTATATGTCAGGTTTTACAAGCACACCTTCCACACTAGTGGAATGAACCCAAACCATGGGCGTGTCTGTCCTGCCAATCAGCGAGACTCCTAGGTTGTCCGAATACACACCGAGTCCTTTACAAAGAATGCTTCATCAGGACAGGGCACTCATGATCAGACAGTTTGTGGACTTTCCTCGTTATCTTCCTAGTGGTCAAGGAAACTGATGCGTTCCTCCTACCAACCTTATGGATCATGAAGATACTGCCACCCAGCAATGCTGCTTCAGGCCAGGCTAGCTTGCAGTACATGAACCATTGCGAACAAATAAAACTATGCCTGGTGGGGGGGTCTTCCATTTTGGGCTCACTCATGGTGGAGTCTGAATCACTATCTACGTGGCTCCGGTGTGAGAATGAAAAGAGGTATACAAACGAATGGATGCTTGATAACCAAAACAAGATAGAACCCACGAAGCCGAATGCAAACACGTACTCGAAAACAAGCGCCCAAACATTTTTGACACTCTCGTAGGAGACACTCTTGTAGAACGTTCTTGTAGGACACTCTCGTGCGACACTTTCGTCACTCTGTGGGACACTCTCACTCTTGCTGGACACTCTTGTAGGACACTCTTGTGGGACACTCTTGCAAGAAACTCTTGTGGACTCTTGTGCAACACTCTTGTGGGACACTCACGTACGATACTCACGCACGACGCTCTGTACTCAAACACATAAGTTACAGTTCTGAGGCCACAGCTCCCGGAAGCTGCTCCCCCTCCCCGCACTACATTTGGTACTACAAAGCCGCCAGTTCTACAGCTCCCAGAAGCTCCTTGCCGCGCTCCATTTGTACTACCAAGTGGCCAGCTTTGAGGCCACGGCTCTCAGAAGCTACATGCGCACTACCAAGTGGAAAGTTCTGAGGTCGCACCTGCCAGAAGCCGCTTCACGCACCACATTTGTACTACCAAGTGGCCAGGTCTGAGGCCACAGCTCCCACAACCTGCTTCCCGCACTACATGTGTACTACACTTATACTACAAGTTACCAGCTCCGAGGCCACAGCTAAAATTGCCAGTTCTGAGGCGCGAGGGGCCAGAAGCCGCTTCCCGCACTACATTTGCACTACCAAGTAGCCTGTCCTAGCTGCCAGGAGCTCCTTTCCACATTACATTTGTGCTACAAGTTGCACTCTTGCGGGACACTCTTGTATGACACTCTTGTGAGACACTCTTGTATAGGACACTCTTGTCGCACACTCTCGTCTCACGTTTCCACACGTTTCCTCGCTATTTCACACGACTCTGACACGTCATGCTTCCATCCAAAACCCTCTCCAAAAGCTTCGCCCAATGTAAGCGCCATAGCGCAACACTGCGGACGGTTTCAAACGGTTGCGAACTGCGGCAAACGGTTGCGAACGCTACGACAACGAGTCACGAACAAGACTCTATACCCCCAGACCTGAACGAGAACCCTTCGCTACGCATTCGGGAAACAAAAACAACTATTATGTATACTGTATAATGTATTGTCGTGAATGCATATTATACACAAACGGTCTAGACAGACAGTCTAAGGATATGAAGACCCCTGGTTAAGCACTCTGGCCAAAGTACATAGTCTTTTCAGTCCGGTCCCCGCACGCTTCTCCTCCGTCAGAAATCGTGCCACGGGACTGGTCATCCACATAGAGCGACAAGTACTGCGCTGTGCGCGTGTCCTTCGAGGGTCAAGCGGCAAGAAAACAAGATAGAGAGCCCACAAGAACAACGGGTTCATGTGTGGTCATCCATGGATATACCATTCTTATGCACACTGTTGATGAATGGCATGCAGTATCAGAATGGATGCGTGCAGGCACAAAGCTGATACCGGGACCATCCAGGACCTCCAAGCAAGTGTCATGATGGAATCTATGTTGCCCTCATCAAAGGTGAATTCCACATCGCCCTCAGAAGATGTTCAAGCTCCAATCACCTTTGGTTTGAAAATATAAAGCTATCAACGCTCGCTTTAAGAAGAACAAAGAGCAACCAACTTTGGATTGGCTGTATGGATGTGGCACGACCAACATGATGCGGGAAAGGCGGAGACCAAATAGACCTGCCTCAAAATGATTGGGCTTAAACTAAAACCCACAGGTTGGGCCCCAGAACTCTTTGAGACCCAATCCTCATCGAACTCTATATATATATACACACTATATATATATATAACAAAAAAAAAGTGAAGAACATCAAAAACATCAGCAAATCCATCCAGAGGAGTCGCCAATTCTTCAAGTCTCAGTCTTTGCGATCAATCTTAATTCCAATCCCTTCGGCCCACTCAGTGTTTGATTTATTGATGGACTCGAAGTGGCCTTATTCAGGAAGGACTCGAAGGCTTGCTTCAGTGCCAGCTGAAAGTCCTTCCGCGATCCCCCCAGCCGGGGCGCCGGCGGATCAAGTACGAAACTGACCGAAACCCACAAGTTGTGCAGGTCGCAGAACCCACTTATAGAAAAAGGATGAAAAAGGTGGTGCAGTAACAAGCACATTTCTACCAGTAGCAAGAAGCTTCTAGTAGTAAGTGCATCGCTATTAGTAAGAAGGGCGTCGCTACTAGTAACAAGAAGCTACTATGATGCTCGCCGCGAAGAAATAAACACGGCCTTTTTGTTTCGGACCATCTCGTCCACTTCCAGCCTTGTTGAACAAAGGATAGACTGAGTAGAACCCCATCAACTGAAATGAAGCTTCTTTCGACACCCTCAGCAGCTCGGTTTCTCCTTGCTTTCCTTAAAGGACTCCTTGACGAATCGGTCAAACCTCGAATTTAGCTCGTCAGACGTGGTCAAAGTCTCAGACGTGGTCTCACACCATTCGCACCATGAGAGGGAATCGAACTCAGACTCAAACGTCAAGACTTCAAGAGCTCCCACAGGCAAAAGAAAGTCCACTTCAACAACGACTTGTCCTTCTTCAAGTGCATAAATCTACATCGATATATTATATAATGTATATATAATATACCAAAAATGTTAGATTAAATCAAAATATGAGTATATACAGCAAATGTACAGCAATTGCAGCTGGATCACTTCTGCTTGAGGCTCAGGATGGCTGTGATGAAGGATACAGGATCCTTCACCTTCTCAGGGTCACTCAGCACCTCCCGTCCTCGCAACATGTCTGCAGCGACTCGAAGCTTCGTTTGGGCTGCACAGCTCTGTTTGGAAGGAACTCTTCGTCTCATATCGTCTCTTTAAGGAACTCTCCAAGTCTCAGCTTCAGACCTTGCCCGGCAGAGGTCCATGTCATGAATTGGGGACCGGGTGCAGTTTCTGGTCTTCCCTGCAGCAGTCCGACAAGTACAACGCCGCTGGTCCCCCCAAGTTGCGGCCCGTCGTCCTGCTTCACACATGCAATCCATCATCACCTGCGTCCAACGATTCGCTCAATGGACTGCAAGTATGGAAGAGTTTACGTTTAAAGATAGAAAAACGTCCCTGGACGGACGAAAGTTATATGGGTCTCAGATGGTCTCGCTTCAATCAGGTTTCTTTCTTCGTGTTTTTGAAAAGGTTCCGCTCCAGAGCTCGCAAGTTACATGGCCTTTCCAGCGACCAAAACATGACCTGGCTGTTATTGCTTTAGATGCCCTAAGTTCCAGAACCACAAGTCAGCCACTTGGGTGATCATTCCAGCGAAGGCTTTGGGTGTTCCTGGGCTGGGGGTAAGATTTTTTTGAAAGGGTTACAGTAATACTCTTCACCAAGCCATGTTCACTCCCTTCACATAATCGCAGTCGGGCTATCACCGCTATCGCTGCTTTAGCAACTTCAAGTGCTCATGTTGCTGTATACAATAGGTCTTGCCGTCAGGATGTTCACCTGTGCCTGCCTGGGAGGCGTTAGAAGAAACTTGCACAATCACTAAAGCTTGGCTTGGCTTCTGAGTGCGAAAGCGCATCTTGATGAATCATATGAATCAAACCCCAATGGCTTGACATCTCCATACCGCGGGTTCGACGAAACCCGCGGTATAAACTCCTCCGGCTCCGGGAGGGCGGTCCGAGGTTTGGACGTACGTCACGACCGATCGCACGCCTTTTGGATCTCCTTGAGGGTGTGTGGAACGCGGCTGAAAAGCACATACATCCTGAGAGCCGCGCCACCTCGAGCACCTTTGCACAGAACTATTACTGTAAGGTGTTGGTTCTTGGAGCTTCACATGTATTCACATGTATTCATAGGAACTCCCCAAAAGATTGCAACGACTTCAAGGACTTCATATTTGTGGCCCCCTTACAGTCCCTCACATGTTGAGCCTGAAAACCAAGCATGGGTGGTAGCTGTCTAAAGCCCAAATGTTTGTGGGCCAAATGTTTGTGGGCCAAATGTTGAGCACCCAAGATTGAGGAGAATGTTGCGTGAACGTTGACAAATAGATAGTTACTTCGTTTCAGGATTCCAATAGATGTAGTATACGATACACGCATGTTTATCAGGAGATTGACTCCAATCAAATGATATAAACATGTCAATTTATCAGGAGATTTATCAGGAGTTTATATAAGGCCACGAAATTGATATGGGTGAGAGCAAGGACGCTACCTTTCTTCGCTACGAACCGGGCTTTGACCGGACCGGACCGTCCTTTCCAGGTCTGGGATCTTGTCGCACTGGAACATCCACGCGCACCTGGCGTGGTTCCGCGTGCACCGTTCCGCGCCAGAACGAAGAACGGCTCATGGATCGTAGGGAGCGGTTCACCACAAACAAAAATGATAGCAGCTATAACATTTGCACTACGTACTCAAAAACATCTCAAAGCTCAGATCTCCTTGTCCCTTACAAATTGACGGCCAATGAAAAGGACTACCAAGAAGGGAATCCACTTCAAGAACTGAACAATTGGAAGGTTTTGCATCCTTTGTGGGTCATCCCAGCGGGTGACAGAGAAACTTCCTGAACTGGTCTCCTTCCAGGAAGCATGAAGATCGACTCAGACCAGATCTACATCTCTGCAATGCAAGGACCCATGCCTGTGGAGGAAAGAGTTGAAACTACCAAGTCACTCAAGAACACATGTCAACACAAATCCCTCTAGGAGCAATTGATGGCTTTGTCCGGCTCAGCATGCCCCCATGAGGCGGGGTCTTCTGAATGAAACGCAGAAAAATGCCTGCTTTGGCGATCGACACACGGTCAATCAATGAACCGTCTCAGATTGAACAACCGTCAACCGTCGCATGGTGCCTCTGGCCTCCCAAACTAGGTCCCAAAAGGGTCAATGCTCTGAAAGAAAAACTGTTGTGGACAAATCATGCACCGATCCATGGCATGCGGGACTCCAGGAAGAGTGGAAGAACTTGTTGAGCGCCCATCTAGGGTTCTAATGATGGATAGTTTATGATTGCAAATGATAGAAATTGGCTTACACTCCAAACCTTATGACCACGTTGATACTGAAAAACAGTTGTCAAAAAAAAGAAACATATAGCATATGATATAGATATAGATCCATGTAAGTCCACGCCTGGCTCGTCCACACGAATCTCTTCAACAGTCGAGTAGTCAGAGCCAAGCAACCCAGAGTTCTCCATGTGGATCAACGTCTTGTAGTGAACGGAGATCCACTCTTCATCACAAAGTTCCTGGACCCCGACATGCCCCGGCAACCCGGTGCAGTCCCGGGGTGACCCCAACAACTGGTGCTTTTCGCTTTTCCTGCGAGTCTCGAGACGGCACACTGCTCCGACAACGCGACAACCGAGTGTGCCTGGATCTTCTCCATGGTGGACTCATGCAAGTAGTTCTCTACCTGGTGGACGCGACGCCCAACGGCGCCCAACGGTGCAGGCACGACTCGTGGCTTTCGGACTTTCACTCTGGTTTTACTCTAGCAAGCAGGAATCTGGATAAGTCTTTTCGCTTCCATGGGCTAGGCTCGACAAAGCAAAAAGAATGTTTTCACGCATTTGATACTACGTGTAAGAATCTGGCAAGATGCACAAAAAAGTGTCGCACGCATCATTGCCGCTCAGCAATCCTTTAAACTATAATCTGGTCAAACATGGTCAAACTATAATCTCTATCTATATCTATAAGGTGTTCCCCGCCACATCGGTTTTCCACGCTGACATCGCGACTTGACTCTTGGACGACATGGCCCTCTTGGAGCACGTTCACCGTTCACCGAACACCTGGAGAATCCTGGAGATTCCACCGAAACCTGAAATCTGACGACCCCCCCTCACTCTTAGACTCTTAGGCTTCTTTGTGTGGTTGTTTTGGCACCCACCATTGAGTAAACGAACTCTGTCACCGTTTCCTCGCCCCAACATCAACCTCACCAAGCTCAAACCACCTGGGATCCCTCCCCTGGGTCCCTCGGCACGAGCTTTCTCCTCACGAATCCGCTTCTCCGCCTGAGCGTTCTCCACGGCTGAAGGCGCTCTCCACCGGGTTCCGGTCGATTCTCCCCCGGGGTTCCGTCGATTTCTCGGTTCATCCGGTGACTTACGGAGACGGTGACCACTTGTGACGACGGTCTCAAACTGTGAGACATGAGATCGGTTTCAAATCCCGATGGAAAGGACAAGGGGGCGTTCCCTGGTCTTCTGGAAGACGACAAGGGCCACGGCGGGCATTTTGGGCACCATCATGAAGGAGAACAGCGTGACTGTTCTTCAGACTGATCGCAAGAACTCTGAAGAGGATCGCCCAAAACGGGTCGTTTGAAGCAGCAAAGACGCAAAACCATTGCTTGGGGGCTCTTCGTTCTGAGACATACCTCATCTCTCTGGCATGTTTGTCTGTTGCAGCACAGACAGAACGAACACAGGAAAGTTTTTGTTGAAGGATGTTATATATATATATCCCCATGATCAAGCATTGAAAAAAATAAACACTGTTTTATAACATCATCACCGTTCACTACTCCCACTGGCTCTGAGATAACTTGTTCAAGGGCTATGTCTGATTGCAAAAAAAACACGTCAATGGACGTTTGACGCGTTTTTGACGTCATTCTGGGGATCCATGAGTTGGGGGAGAAAGTGCACTTGGACTTGGAAAAAAGGCCCGCTACAACCGCACAGGACGTTGGACAACTCTCGCATTTGTCCTTGCGGACAAGCACGAGTGGATCGATCATGGACTCTTTTCTGAGATCAACCGGCCTTTCTCAAGTAGTCAGAGCACGGGTTCTGCGAGATGTACTGCTTTGACTCGTCCTTGCGGCCCAGGAACGCTGCGAACAAAACATGGGCGAGGCAGGACCATAAGGACCATGACCCTCCACAAGGGCCACGAAAAAACCGGAGGAACGTCGCAGGAAAGTACACCAGGATATTTGGGAAATGCACCAATTGGCGTGGAACTTCCGGAAGTTTGAGGTACTGGAGAACCAGTGTATGAAGTCTGTCTGCACCATTCATCAGGAATCTGGTCAACTGACCAATTTTGGCTTTGGCTGAGACGGCGGGTCTCAAACCATCTCATGGATGATCACCACTTGTGTTCCATGTGTTTCCTCATCCTTTCCTTTTGAAGCTGCTCCACGCACAGTTGGATGTCCAAACGAGGGTCTGGTTCCGCTCCTTCTTGTATGGGGTCCCAGAAGCTTACCAATGTTACTGTACGCTAATCCTCATGCCCTACTTCCACATGACAACATTTGTAGATCACCTGAACTTGCACTTGAAGCTCCATGGGCCATGGATGGCCATGGGGCCTTTGATGCGGTTTGATTGGATTTGACTCCGCCAGACCGTGTGATTGCAGCATAGTCTCTTGGGAGGTGACAACCCAACACAGTACCTAGAATTAACTCATGAGGGTCTACCCGCACGATAAGCATATATATATATATATTCAAACTATATGACTACATGTGTATATACGAGTATAATATACGTTTCTTGTGTTGTTGCTTTTGGGGGGGGGGCCCAAACCATGAACCCTTGGACCTGGCGGGGTCCATCTATCGACCGGACTTCGCGTTGAGTCGACAGCGAAGTCAGCCCAGGGGTGTAGAATTGGTAGAAAGTCGTTGAAGCAAATGGAACTGGTACTGTCACTGGTGTCACCACTGGTGTCATTCAGTATTTGGACTGTATGGCAACTACATGGCAACTACCACACCAAGCAGCCCAGGCATTTTGGGACCTGGAACTACAGCACCCAGAACAGCAGTGGTCGAGCTGCATTCCGGACCACGAACTGTGGTGCGGTGCGCGCCAACCTGAACCGCTGGGCCTGGTAGAACTTGCGGGTCGCGTCGAGGAACTGATCTTCGAAGCATTCTCGATAGACCTGAGAAGCAAAGAATGACAAAGATTAAGCTTCCGGGCCTGTCATGGAGTCATGGCTTGGGATCCGGGCGTTTTTGCCTTGCACACCAAGTTCTACTAGCATGTTCGTGGTGTGCTTCAGGAGGATACGGTCTACCTTGCAAGCCAGCACAAGCAGCACATGCTCTTACAGGATGCCATGCTTGTCAGTTTCAAGATTTTGCCGCAAATGTTCAAGGCTCGATCTAGAATCTAGGACAGTTCGGGGCATAGAAGTAGGAAAAACCCAACAAGTTTAGGCTTTTTATGTGACTCGGTCAGTTTTGAGGACAAACACAGAAATGGTGCTGTGAGCGTTTTGATGCCTTCAAGATCACTGTTTTGATCGCCCGCCTGCTCCCCTCGACGCTCAGCACTGATGTTGTCCAGAAGCAAGGTCAAGAGGTGTGTCTTCACTCGTGGGTGGCCGGAGACCTTCTGCACTCGCAAGTGGTCAAGGACCGATCTCCGACAGTTCTTTTTCGGGTGGAAAGAGAGGAGACTTGCTCCACCAAGAACCATTCAGTTGTGGAAAAAACGCAACCAAGTCACCCAACTTCGTGGTAGGAAAACCTGCCCAACAATTTAATTTTGGAACACGAATACGGTGAATGGACAAATTACCGTATCGCTAGCGATACACCAAATCCTTGGAGAAGAATGTGATTTTCTCTATGTCACGTCAGGTACTGCAATGTCCATTCATTTCTTGGTTGAAGAAAGACATCTGCGCCAAGCAACTCCAGATGTCAAACCAATCTGCATCTAAACCAATCATCTCAGTGAACAAATGCTTAGGAACAACCACTCCGTCAGGGTTTTCCCAAATTTGGAGGGACTCACTGCACTATGCACATGGTTCAAAGAGCAATTCACGTAGTGTTTGAAGGGTTGGTTGATATGTTCCCAAAGTGACCTTTTGTGTGTGTGTGACAAGGTTGTGCATGTCTTCTTTATGGTTTCTCTTGAGGATCCCTTTGGACTCCGGTCATGGCATCATTCCCTACTGGTCGGAACAGTCAGCTTAAAGTGATTCCAGAATAGATGGACGCATTAACCCCTCAATGAAACTGCTTTGGAATCCTGCTTCATCCTCTTTCTATTTGGTGATCACCGCATCTCGTAGACTCCTCTCCTTATCGCGGAAGATCATCAGCCCCATCTCATAGACGGGCACCTCCGCACAAGTGGTCCATGTCTGAAATAGGATTGTGTGAAAAAATGAAAGCCCTTGTTTGACCTTGAAATCAACTGTCTACCGCCCCCCACGGTTGAAGAGGGTTTTGGACACACAATTGTCTACAATGAATCTGTTGTCATCGGAAACACAAGGAGTAAAGACACCAGATATCCTCAAAACAATGGGGTGTAATCGATTTAAATCTGTCCTGCGTGATTTGAGGGTGTCCCACTAGTCGGAAACATACCATATGATATGAAAGCATCCACTGGCTGATGTGTGTCAAAGATCACCACTTATGGAGAAACCTCGTGGATATGATGGGTCTACTCGGTTTGAATCCATTCGTGAATTTCCTTCTCCAAAATGCCACTACATCCAGTTTCTAGCTGGTATCGTTATTTTTCCCTTCTGCTTTGCCATGGCCTTGGGTTTGTCAGGCCCTGCTGCTTGACTTTGTTTTCCTTCTTTCCTTTGCCACTATCATTGTCATGTTCTGACCTTTTCTTTCCTCCTTGTTTTTTCCCTTTGCTGCCTTCAACCTCCTTTTCTTCATCGTAGCCGCCTTCTTCACTTGGGTTTGCTGCGTCGCTTGTTGGTTGTCTTCCTGTGTGAGGTGTATTGAATTCCACCTCATCATTTCCTGGCGTCCCCATGGCGCCATATTTCACATTCAACCATCCATCTGGCCGCCTTGACCCTTTCAACGGGCAATTCTGGTCTTCATGGAAGATGTACTTGACCAGATGAGGTTGACGCTCCTTCTCCTTGCTGTTGGTCCACCTCTCCGCACGTCGATGAAGCACTTCATGAAAGTGCCAGCGCCATCTTGAAACCTATCGTCTGTGGGACCTTGCTTTTTCCACGCTAAGCATCCTCCAGCCTCTGACCTGGCAAACTGCAGGAACCGGCTGGTCAGCAACGATTGTCCACCTGCAGGAGCGAAGACATCTGTTCCGCTTCGATCCTCCCACGTGAAATGCCTTGCGGCTAAAGGCGCTCTGCTTTTCCACCTTTCTTGCCTTCTGGTTGTCGTAGGACACCCACGCTCGAATTTACCCTCAATCTTTGCCAGCCGTCCTGGCGGGTCGGGGAACATCAAACTTTCATCACCATCTTCAAGAAGCCCTCCTGCCACCACCATCGGCTGCACTGCTTCTGACGAGTCGGCGTCAAAGGGGAACTCGGGCGAAGTCTTCAAGCTTTGTGTGTGCGCGTACACTTCAACTTCTTCGTTGGACTTGCCTCAGCATAGCCATTTTCCTCTCTTCTCACCTCTAGCGTCGTCCTGCTCGCGCGTTGGGTCTTCATTCAGGCTGCCGAGAAGATCTTGGAGTAAAGTGTAATCAGTGGCCTCCAATGGTTTGCCAATTGGTATGGTGGGCATGAATTCTCCATCAGATTGTGGATCTTCTGCTGCCTCATCTTGAAGCTGCCCTTCACGAAAAGCAACACTCCAGATAGTTCTGGTCCATCTCAAGCCATCACTAAATGAAAATCAGCCCTGTCAGTCTTTCCCAACCCACATCCAACTTTACATCTGTCATCTCCGCTGCTCCTCTGACTTTGGCCCAGACTCTGTGTGTGTGTGTGTCTCTCTCTCTCTAAGCATTGCAACCTTTCCACTGAACTTCCGGCCTGTGTTGAGAGCCTACTTACACATCAAAGAGCCCGCACTTTGATGTTCACTTGACATCCTTCTCCCAAGCTTCTCGCTAGCGTCCTGGCAAGCCCTCTGGCCGCCTGGATCTCTCGTTCAACTCTTCCATTGCTTTGCGAGTCATAGGGCCCACTCAAACTCCAACACTGCATGGAACACAAGTCGAAGTCTTGCCTGCTGCACCACCTCCAAAATAGCATCCGCATCGAAGGTTCACCATCACCTTTCAATATGATTCTTGGGCACCCCAAACTCCGAATGAAACGAAGCACTTGTTCAGTCATGAACTTGGTGCGCCCGTCCCTTGCCTGGCGTTGGGATGGCTAGCGCTGCTCTGGACCAGTCATCTGCAACGACCATTGCAACTCCTCCTTTCAAGTCACCTTGAAAAATTCTCTTGGTATGGCCAGTGGGTCAGTTCATGAACTTGGACCCTTTCTCTTCCTTTCTGTCCTCTGCTGTGTTGCTTCGGCTCCTGCTCCTCCTCAACCATTTTTCTGCGCCTCAGTCACCAACGAGTTGCGTCGAAAGCTCAGCCTCTGGCTGAACACCCCGTGCGTCAACTTCACATCATCATTCTCTCCGTTCAGACACGTTGGACAACGCAAAGCTTTCTCGAAGATGAACCCCCTCCCTCTAAGACCACCTCCGCCCATTCCTTGCGCATCTCCCAACGCGTTCTTCTTTGACAACGGCGTGCCAACATCTGCAATCGCGAATGCCTCCTTTACCTTTGACTTTGCCTTTGTCATTGCTGTAGTTGTGGCTGCTGCCATAGCCCTTGCTTTTCTCGTGGCCCTTTCTATCTTTTCCTTTGTTCTTTCCTTTAGCTTTGCCCTTGTTCTGGCCCTGGCCTTTCACTCACTCAACCTCCACAACTTCGCACATCGATCTTGATCTCTCTTGTCAACGTCAAACTCTTTGCACATGGCGTGTGAAGTGTACGATGATGCTGTTCCTTCAAATGACAACGACTTCTCGCGGATCTCGGCATAGGCCGCGCTGTCGCCCATCGTCAGTGACGACACCGCATGATACTCCTCAGCCAACCTTTCCAGGCCGAAAAGCTACTCAAGGAGTCCAATTCCTTTGTCTTTGCTAAATGCAAGATGTGCCAAGTAACTAGTAAGCTTGCAACACAGCACTTGATCTTGTCCGGGCAACTGTCGAGACAACCTCCATGCTTCAAGGCCTTTCCTTCCCTTGACTGGCCCGAGCAACTTCAGTCCATTCCTGAGCAAGCCAACCAAGATTCTGCTCTGCTATGTCATGGCGTTCCTGGCTCATGTCAACGAAGTCAAAAGGTGCTGTAGACTTTTTCGGCTTCAGCCAAGTGCTTCTCATACCCTTTGTCCGCAACAAAAGTTAGCCACGATCGAAAATTCAACCCCCAATCTCGCCACAACATTTTCTTCTTTTTGGCTTGCTAGGAAACATCTGGTTGCTTCAACACTTTGCTTGCTGATCCAAATCCAGCTCCTGTGGTCTTCTCACGCTCTTCTTTCCTTGCTTTCAATGCTTCTGTCACTGCCTCACCCGACTGCCTTGAGCTCTCGACTAAGGCCTGGAGCGCCTCAGCCATCATCTTATCTTTTCTTTACATACCTTCATTTTTTCTTTTCTTCTCTTCTCCTTCTTTTCTTCACTTCAGGCCACTGTGACCTCTCCGCGGGGTATCTTTCTAGAGCCCCCAGGTGGCTCCGCCACCATGAAAAACATCCACTGACTCACGCAAACGCCATGTTTCTCCCGAGAACCTTAAGCCCTGAGTAAGGCATGTCATGAAAAGGTCCCTGTCTGACATGATATCACACATATGTCAAGTTGATGTAGCAAAAACAATGCGCTGATTGGCCGTAAACGCGCGCGAACGACGATCGCAATCCCCTTGGAAACAGACCCTCATGCCTATCTTCACCCACGCACAGTGACGCTCAGCTAGACAGCCAGCCTTTGTCCACTGCAATGTCCAAGAAGTCTTTCGGGCGGCATCCAACTTTGTTGGCACGACTCTGTCTGTAGACCCGGAAGGCTTCGAGAACTGTGAGCAGACCTGGACTGTCGTTCAAACGAGTGGCACACAACTGGTCTATGTGACATTCGGCTGGAGATCCACAGACCCAAGCGGTTGGTTCTCTTCAACTGCAGCTTGGTGGGTGCAATCTTGCTCTCAGCTGCATCGTCACCAGCCATCACTTTGAACTGCGTCTTCTGCTGCAATGCCACCTTGTCTTTTACGGCTTTCTGCAACATCTTTTCTGCTGCGCAGTCAGGAGGAGGGAGTCATTTCGTCGACATAGTGACTAGCCCCCACAGCTGGCATGCCAGAGGAGCGAAAAGCCGGAGCAGAGTCAGAACTAGCCACGCAGCTATCATGTTGCACGAAACCATACCATACATGGGTTAAAATGCACGTGAAACCTGAGTCTGCTGGGGGAGAGCAGCTTTGTGTGCGCGCGTTTACGTGCAATCGGCCCCCAAAACAAGTATACAGTGAGGCACTACATTCCACATCTGCTTCAAACAACAAAAAGGTTCCGACATGTTCCTACCACCTAGTCGCAAGATACAGCTGAAAATGATGGTACAAATCGGTACAGAAAATCCGAAGATGGCCATGGAGGGTTTGTACTTGGGATAACTATCAAGTGAGATGTTAATCTCTGAGCACTAAGCAAACGCCCTCGGTCAAGTGGCAGTGGGTCAGTCAACCCCTCGTGAAGATCCCAAAGGTGACGTCCTGCAAATGTCCATCCCTCCTGCACCTTATGATGATCTGTGACCTAGGTCGGACCTACACCCAGCCTTCTTGTACTGGGTCACAAAGTTTCTGTCCATGTACATGAGAATATCCCGGATCATCACCTCAGACAGCCGACAGCACAGCCGACCAGATGGGCAGATGTCTTGCCAGGGTCAGTGCCAAGCTTTATGCACCAGGATCTAGTACAGTAATACATCAGTCAGTTGTTGCTGATGCTGTAATTATATACATAACTGGCGACAATACTCAAACTTTCTTACTAGTTGATCTAGTTGCTGAGCCAACCTTGCAGCCTGCCCAATCTGTTTTCCCAACAGGGCCGACAACAATCTGCCATGGGAAAAATGATCTGATTTTCCATGGCAATGACCTCAGAGAAGCTGCAGCCCATCTGAGCTCGTTCAAAGGGATTCATAGGTTCAAGGGAGGAACCACTGCTTAGCCAGTCGGCAGTAACTGGGTTCCAAGCCATGGTGGTCTTGTGGTCATCCCACTGCTTTTTCCTGGCACCACTCCACCCCGACCCAAGTGACCTGAAGTTGGATAAATTCGCGACTGCCTGGGGATAGGCAGAGCAAAGTAGGTTGACATTGACAAGGTAGCACTGTAGAGCTTTTTGGGGGAAAATGATATGGATGGATCTGGAAGTGGCGGGCAGGAATAATGTTAGATTGGCTCGGTTGGTTGGAAGATGTTTTCCAAGAGTATCAGTGTGTCGCTTTAGAGATTGAGAATGGGCCCGGACTCGGACCGTTGCTTGACAAGGACTGGTAGACTATGTTCGACTATTTGGACAAGCAGTAGATGCTTTGGAGCTTAACAGCCTCAAAGGTATATATTTCTTCGAACAAAAGCGAAGCGCCGTTTGCAGCGAAGGCACCCTCCCAAGAACAGCATAGAAGCTGGTAGACCACCCCCGGTAAGAGGTTTTTCCACTCCCCTTGTCATGTTCTCCCCCGCATGGATTTTAACCATTTGCAAGGTCGCCCACAGGTTGAAGTCTGGATCATGTTGTGAAGGACACCCTTTGCTGTTTGGAGAGCAGGAAAACAACAAAGCTTGATCACGCACCATATACGGGGAAGCAGTTCTCGCAGAAAAAAAGAAAACAAGAGCTGCTCCATTCTGTCTTGGAACATCCCAAACCTGACGAGGCAAGACATTGCAGGTCTTCAATTGAAAACCAAGACATGGCAGCTCCGCAGTTCGTCTAACAAACGATCATCAGGGCCTTGGTGAGCCGTTCGTGATCTTTCACCCACCGACGTGAGTTCCACTCATCCAGACGGAGATGCCCGAGACTCGTCGACGAGCCGACCTTCCGTCGAGAGCCATCCCGGACTGGGTCGGAGTTCATCACATCGAGCCAGCCGAGCGTCGACTCCAACGAGCGAAGTCCGGAACGAGCCGATGAGCCGATGGGATGGAAGCGACGTCCCACGGGGGAAGCTGGGATACCATCGTGCGAGCAGGGATCCCGGTGGTACAGGTTGCTGGAGTTCGTGTGGAGGTGGGAAACTCAGCTTGAATCTCGGCAACAATTTTTCCTTATCCTTGAAGCTGTGCATCACGTTCCTCGGTTGACCTTCCGAAACATGGCGACACGCAAAGTCAGATGAAAAAGCAATAACAGACTAACGGTTCTGTGAAAGCAACCAATGTTGGTCCTGCAGCCATATTTATCATACTTATTCCTGAATGCTCCCTTCCCGACAAACCCTCCAGGTGTGCGGGCACTCAATGCAACTTTGTGCAACCACTTTCAGGTGCTCGGCCACCACCCCCTGAGAGGGGAGAAGGTGGCAAATGCTTGTGAAGTGACTGTGCAGCGCCATTCATGGAGGCATAGCTCAAAAAGAAACCAACTTAACCTTTACATGTGTCATAGAGAAACTTGCATTACAGTATAGCATCACATAGCAAGCTCTTCATACTTGATTGCAAATTGCCTTCGTCCATGACTCTAGGTTTGGCCAAATCCCAGGTGGAACCTTTTGCGGTATCTTATTGGGCCAAGCGAAGCAGCGGTAAAACACCCCACGAAGATGCCAATAAGGAGGCTTCCTGTGCAATCCTAAAACCCTCCAGATTCCCAGCCTGAAGATATCTCTGGCTTCTCTTTGGCAGGTACTCTTCTTTAAAAATTGAAATATAAAGTATCAAAAGCATTCAAAAGCATCTCCCTCAAAGTCCTGATCCCGTCCCCACATTGTTGGAGCGAAAAAGAAGAATATCAACCAAGCCATGAAGCCCCAAGACCCCTCGACGCCTGAACGCCATTGTAGAGGAGTTCCCCATACCTCAGACGTTGAGGGATTGAGCCCATGGCGCCCCTGACATTGTGCGGAGGTGGATGGCAGTAAGAGACCAGCTAAGGGTGTTCGGTAACTATGAGATGCAGTGCGTTAGATAGGATGCACCAGCATGCGTTAGATAGGATGGCAGTCTGCCACTCAGTGGATTCCAAGAATCATCCTCCTATCCTTAGCCAAGTGATCAACGCTTCAAGCCAATTTTGCCACATCTTCTTGAGACACCGCTATACAATACTGGAGCGAATGATATGACAAAATAAACAATACAAGTTCAGAAGCGTTTCTGGCCCCATCCTCCTCAAGGCCACTGCCTGGGACCACTTCATTGGGTACAGGTGGTGCAATGGTCCCGGTGGATCCATTTGCCAGTGTAGCTATCTCTTTACCGAACTTGAAGAAACTCATCGAAGAACTATAGTCTAACCAAGGTGGCCAAGCAATGATAGAACTTGTGTTTTCAAGTATATCTCAAAGATCATCCAAAGAAAGAGTTGTACACGGAAGATGCAGAACCACCGAAATGAATAGACAAACATCTCCCAGAAGTTTTGAAGCGGATAAGAGTACCATGCCTGCAGTTTCCATGCGGATAAGCTGTAAGCAACCATCCAACCATGCCACATCTGGTTACTAACCACAGGCGTGGCCCACTTACGCAAGGACTGGATTGGCATGGTTTCGAGCCGGTTTTTCAATGGCTTCCAGGCAAGTTTCAGACTAAAATGACCTGGGAAGGATGCCCTGCCCTGCTTCCGAAAACACGGACAAATCTGAATCTGAATCATGTGTCTTCAAGGTCTTCATGGCCCTCCGATCCAAGTCGCTTGTGCAAGACCAAGTTGTATGCATTCCGATAGAGCTCCTATGGCCAATTCAGACATTCGTGGTTCACAGCTGACCCTGTCACTATGTGTCCCACTCTTGTCAGTTTATGTGATGTTGATAATGCAAGCACACATGGTTGCATCATTGACATGTTTAATGTAGTTGTGTGTATATATATATATATATGTGTGTGTGTGTGTTGCGGTGTGCTGCGGATGAAAGCAGTGAAATTGATGATTCTCAAGCATCCCAAGTTACAAAAGGAAATTGTAGGTTCAAAACTGAACATCTGAACGTCCACCTTTTCAACCCCTGACCCACTTCTTCATGCTTTCCCACTCGTCAATACCGAAAAGAGTCGGCAAACACTGGAAGCCTCGAAAGACAGTGAGGAGGCATTGTGCTGGTGGATCCTTGGTGGACGGAATCACTGATGTGGCAGCCCGAACTGTGCATCAGTACCTTGATGAAAACTACTGCAGTACTGTCGTCCAAACATAGTATTGCATTGCCTCAATTCATGCGCATCACCCTTCAGAACCGAGCAAGTTGCTGGGCAAGTTGCTGAGCATTGATACCAAATGTTTGATGCAACCTATGCGGTCTGTCCATGCGTTTTGGAGATCGACGAGAACTAGTTTTGCTCTCCGAGCAACTGATGGATAGCATGCCTCAGGCATTCCCACCTGGCGACAGAAACTATTTTCTCCAAACAGGAAAAGGACATGTTCTGCTTATTCTGGTGTTGATGAGTCAGGTTTGTGTGTGTTCTGAAGAGCGAAGAAAGCGAACGATTAGATCTTTGTTTTGATCATTTTTGATCCAATTCCATACTTTGAATGGTTGTTCTTGTCCTTTTCTTTTTCTTTTTGTTTTCTTGTCTCTAACTCGTTGCCTCGATCCCTCACAGGTTTCTTACTTGACTGTCTCACCGATGTCAGAGTTTTTGATTGAACCACTTCGTACTAATAGAGACGCAGCAGCAATGAATTTGATAGGAGACGCACAGCTGCTTGCAAACATTCAGTTCAGTTTCATGTCTCAGCACGTTGGCCGGTGTTTTGAAGATTCAGGGTTTCAGATTTGCGTGAGATGGGCGATGTCAGCCTCTGCAGTGAGGAAGCGCAGCACGAATTCCGCTTTTTGATCTGCCAATTAGAGTATGTATATATATATACATATAAATAGTTTGCCTCACTGAACGGCAGAAATTGTGCGAAGCAAATACCTCCGCCTGAATAGAACGGATATACTGCTCTCTCTGAATTGTCCTTTGTATTTCCTGCATGAGGGAATGGTTCCTTGAGTGCAAATGCTTCGGTGGGTTTTCATTCGACTATTTCTTTCCCTGAGTACCTTTCGAGTTTGTTTGGACTTTGTGAGTTGACATCGAGGCCCGTGAGAGCACTGCAAACGACGTCCGAAGAAGGTTCGAGGGAACGCAGCTGATGGAAGGGGAGGAGGAAACGCAGCTGTGCTGAAAGAAGTGGGAGATGTCAGAAGCTGTGCTGAAAGAAGGTGCGGCAGTGTGCTTCCTTCCGAAATGGGTGCAGGGCGTCATACCTTTTCTAAAAGGATTCTGTCGTCACTTCACAAAAGTGAAAGGCTTTACTTTGGTTTGAGGGAAGACAATGATTTGCAAGGCCATGTGAAAGACAACGCTTGCAAACCCTTTTGACAAGTGCTGCAAAACACAAACAAAATATAACAAAATAGAGCCTAGGAAAGAGCTGAAAGATTTGAGGGTCGGGTGCTAGTCACCGTTTCACTGAAACACCTTGAAAGACAAGGCCCAAGCCGTTTTTGCAAGCCGTTTACTAAACGTGTTGTTTGCTGTTGCCCGGAGGGAAACTTGAGATGTCAAACAATGGATCAGGCTGTGCGGACGCTTTGGCATTCAAAGGTGATATCTGACTGGCCAAGTGTGGGAACTTTGGCCAACACAACACCCACAGAGATGCCGTCACCCTTTCTTGAAAAACGGATTAACATTGACATATACATGTGATCCTGTTCTTTGACCTGGACCCCAAGGTCCTCCATTCTCCATTACATTCGATTGTCTTCTGCAAGTCGCAACAGTCATGAGAAAGCTTTCGACATGGCTGTGGGTGAAACCAATCCTCAACACTCCCAACACCATATTGCTTGACTTGGACTTGGACTTCCATAAACTATTCTTGAAACTGTTTTGTTCGCAAACTCTTCCTGGTTCTCCCCATCGAAGCTGCGTCCAAGCTAGGCACAAACGACCAAACGACATGTCCTCAACGGCTCCAAACGGCATGTCTGCCATCCAAAACAAGTCTGCACCACGTCCGGTTCGACTCCTCCAACCGGCTTCGTCGTTCGGCCGAAGGCCGAAGGCACAAGTCGTTGAGCCCTCGGTGGATCTTTGTTGGTCTTGCTTTTAGCCCGGGGGGGTAGGCCATAGAGGTAGGTTAGCTAGGCAGGTAGCTAGTAGATGCTAGTAGGTAGCTAGGTAGCTACAAGAACGCTACTACCTCGGACGCAGGATAGCTCTCGCTTCCTGGCGGCGGGGGAAGCTTCCTTGAAGAAGCGCTCGCACGAGTGATTTAGGGAAACTTAAGGTACGGCACTTGCTTTTGGAGCACTATTCTCCGAATAGATGCCAAATCTTAAACGGGTACCATATACAGTATATACATACCTACATACATACCATTAGATTAGATTAGATTAGATTAGATTAGATTAGATTACATTACATTACATTACATTACATACAATTACATTACATTGCGTGACATGACATGACATGACATGACATTACAATACAATACAATACATGCATACATACATGATTATTATATATATATACGATATCGATCGCTCTTTTCAACCGACCGCGGCAATCACAACCGACTTCAAGGCTTGCTACAAACCGTCCCTCCCTCGTCGCCCCGGACGTCGCCGGCGTCGCCCCCTGCCGTCCTTCTCGTCCATGGGGTCCCCTGAACGGAACTGTCGGATACCTGGCATCGGCGGTGTTGGGAGACAAAATCGTTTTTCCGGCAAAAAACGGAAAGCCATAGTGTTTGGGGTGGTGTTCACCATGGTTTCCTGCAGATGTTGCCTTGAATCAATTCAATTGCCTCTGGTATCCAATCGCTGACAGGTATGACCCGGGAGTCGAAGCCTGCGCCTGGTTGTCCCGATGTGATCGTTGGCTCTTCGAGTCAATGATAAGTTATTCCTTGAATGGTCTTGAAGATCCCCAGTGATGTTAAAGGCCTTAGCAAGTTGTGCGAAACCTGAAATAGATACCTTATGAATCTTATAGTTTTTCCCTTAAGTAGGGACCATGTTGGTGTCACCCTAGAATATGTGTATTTAGTTATTTCAGGGTCCTAGTCTCTGGTACATCAAAATCAACTATTTCACCTTGAAGGAACAATTTTGGGGAAAATGCTTGCTGGGATGTTGGGTAACGTGTGAAAACTGTGCAAAGCATGTCTTGCAGCGCGTAGGCGGTGGAGAGGTTCAGGGTGAATGTTATTCCATTGCAACCCCCACCATGTGCCTCGTGGGGTCCGCAGAAATTATTCTGCAAACGTTTAATTTAGTCCTGCAAAATCATTCCTGAAGGAGCGGCTTTATGATATTTTATGATGCTTTGTGCCTTGTGCCTCCACAAATAAGACAATGAAAGGGCAACATCTAGGGAGTGGGGGATGGAAAACCAGAGCAGTCTGATCCCAAAACTCCAAGGTACCCGAGCTACCCCCACCTGGCTTCTTGGCCCCAAGGCTGCTCATGACCTGTTGTGCTCGTTCGGAAAAGCCAGTCAGCTACTTGCTGTAGGATCTTTTTCAGTGGTTGATAGGCATAAATACACATAAAATAGATCGATCAAGTACCCTGAATGTTTCAACACAGAACCCAGTACAACCCCTGAAACCATAACATAGACGCTAAAAAGTCGGTCCCCAAAATGACATCAACGACTGCTGGATGCTTCTGAGCCCGGTGGCCTAATGTTCGCTTTCCGTGTATACAGTATACATGCTTGTTGAATTTTGTTGAAGTCCACCCTCTTCGCGCAACTTCCGTCTGAACTTACCATCCTTCAACACCGGCATCTGAGATGCAGGCGCTAAAAGACACCGCGCGGCCAACGGTCCCGCGGGCAACGAATTCTGCTTTTGCTTGACGCTTGCTGTGCTTTAAGTGCTCAAACGAGGACATACCTAGGCTACCTACACTCACTATCACTACCCCATTCAAGGGACGAAATTGAGGAACGAAACGTGCACTTGCTCCTGAGATTTATGTCTATCACCAGTCCAAAACCCTAAGTTTAAAAATGGTCGTGTGTTCAGGCAAATGCTTAGGATAAGAGCATCGATCACATACGGCTTCCAAAATGTTCCGGAAGTTTAGATCAATCGTGTCTCTCATGTTTTCGTGCTATTCCTTGAACGCTCATCGCTTTGTGCCACAAAATTGGATCAAAGTAGTCCTGGTTGAGAACTGCTGGCACTGTCTCATTCGCAACCAATCTTGAGAAAAGAACTCAAGCCGCAGAACATCGCAGAAATATATCGAATCGTTTAAAGAGTCACCAGACCAGCTCCATGAATTGCTGGTAGAGCCTTGCCACATTTTCCTCAAACACGCAAGATCAACTTGGTTGTTTAGAAAATCCTCCAGGTTGTGGCTCCAAATCTTCCCCCGGTCCTGCCAGGTTCCAAAAATGCCCACCTTCGACACACGCACACCATGTGTTGCTCTGTCTCGTCCATGTCAGGGTGAGCAGTCGATGAAGGTGATATTGGTAGACTCTGGTAGACAGTTCTTCATGTTCTCAAAGGGTGTAAATGGGTTGCGATTTGCTATCTTTAGGGACAGGTTTCTCCTAGGATCATCTGCAACAACTTTTTCCACCACCCCAGACTTCAAGATGCTTTCGCCCTCTTTTTGTTTCCCGATGCCTGGCAAACACCGACCCCACGCATCAGTCCGACCAATCCGACGTGATCATGACTGATGTGACACCGAGAAATGCACTGCCGCCCCATCCACCACGAGGAGTCAGTTTTTCACATGACAGGTCCCTGAAGTTTGAACCAGCTTCATGAGCCCAGTGAAAACTGGTTCAGCGTAACCGCCCAGTGAAAACCACTATCCGGTGTCCAAAAGAAAGTCAACATCCGGCCCCGTCAAATCAATCTCAAAGCCACATTGATAATAGAAACATATAGAAACTACATGAAAGTACTGGATCGTGCCTTGATCTGATCTCAAAGAATATGTTCAACTCGTGTGTGGACTAGGCCGTGTGTGCTCCCCAAGTGGCATGCCGGCCGAGCTTCAGGGCGAGTTTGCTTCCCCAAAGAGTCAGAATATGGATCTTCCCAACCCAGGGTTTGAAAGAGGGCGCAACTGCCTAAAACCTTTTCGCACGCAAACACAAACATAAGACAATGCTATTCTGGCAGAACCAGCAGCACACAAAAGGAACCTAGTGTTCTTGCTCCTGTCGCTACAGTAGTCTCTACACTGGTCATGATCGCAGTAGTATTTGTATGCATTTGTGCGTTCTCCAGTCACCAAAACTTCGAAACGTAACATCAATTAGGTCCTCAGCGTGAAAGCAGGTCATGATCACAGTAAGTTTCTGCATGCACAGGGAGACTTCAGTTCCTCACGTTTCTTCATGACCAGTGTGATACTCCCCTGTGTCTCGTGGTTCCTCCTCAAGGGCGTCGTAGAGTATACAGTATACTGGGTCCACTGGAATCTGCGAAGGCATGAAAGCTGCTGCCACCAGTTGCTGGGCGCTTATGCCATTCACTGTGCATCGAATTACGCGCATTGTTCTAGAGGAAAAAAACAAAGAGGTTTGACTGAGCATGATTGGCAATGCTCCAGTTCAAAAACACTGCGATAGCATTCGCTCCTCCATGCAGTGTGGCTTGTGTATAACAGTGTATATACATCACATCAGCACATCAAGAACAGGCCATCAGCTGTCCATGCATGGTGCACACTCAAAAATAGGGATCCTGCCCTCATTCTGAGTGATGTTCTTGAAGTGTGTTCTGATTATCGCAGATCTGTTTGCAAGGCCTATGATATCACAGCCTCATGTTGTCTCACATGTCCACTTCACAGTCTCATATCTGTTGATGCAAGCGCAGCAACTACGTAGGATTTGGTCACCTTCGAATGGCATCGAAACCTTAGAAGGGACCATTTCGATCAAAGACTGGGACCGTTTGGATCGCTGCCTTCGACCGAAACGTGAACACTCATCTCTGAGCCAATCACATCGCTCAGTCAAACCATGACCCTAAATCGAAAGGCTCACTGCTTTCCAAAGAGTACCTGCATCAGAAAAAAATACTTGACCGGCTGACACTGATCGTTTTCATATCTTACAAGTATCTGCACAAAGGCAGAGGAAAGAGGCCAGCCCCTGCGAACTCGCTAGACATTGGGTGTAACTTTACTCCAAAGGTTTCGCGACACTGCTGGAAACCTCAAGCCTTCAGTGCGTAGAGTAACTGGTCAAATCCTCTTCAAGCCCCCAACTTCCCGTTGCGCGCCTTCAAGCTGTTGCTTTTCTGTGCCACTCGCAATCGACCCGTGGGCGGCTCCCCACCCGTGGGCGTTGGCGTTCCGCTGGCGGAACGTTCCGGCCGCGTGGCCTTGCCGAAGCCGTGGGCCTTCCGCGGGCGCTTGGCCGTGCGATCGAAGACGCCCATGTCCTGCGCGAAGGGAGACGAGGCCGAGCGAGTGCTCGAGAGTCGATGGGAGGAAGCGTCAAGCACTGCGATGGGCCGTGTTCTTTCTTGGTGTGAAGGATCTCGATTTTGTGAGTCGAAGGAACGGAAAGAGTCTGAGAATTCTGCCCGTTGTCACTGTGGCTCGTCAACGGCCTTGATTTTTTTTGGTCTTCAAAAGGGAGGAAAATTAGGATTACTCCCGGGTCTCCTCCTCTTCTTCTTCCGGTCGCCACAACATTGACCGCTTGGAGCCACCTGTGAGATAATGAAAGAAGTGGTGGCTGGGAGCCACCTACGCAGGATGATGACATTGAAATCCGCCCGCACCAAAGGTGCTCAGGGCGTGATCATCCGGATGGCATAAACAACTGTAAGGTACAGGTTTAGGGGGGGCATTAATGGTGAAACCAGTGGGTTTTTGATAGGTCGCGGACTTCAAAAAACATCAAAAAACACTGTTTTTTACAGCACGGAATGGACTAGTTCGTGCATGCGCCCGCCCAGAACCGGCAATAGAACAGTGAAAAAACAACTGTTTTTTTACTTTTGGTCTTCGATTTTTGGTTTTGAGACGCGTAATTATGTTGCTCATGTGTCTTGTCGGGAGGCCGGGGGCCAGATTTTGTGATTTCGGAGCTATTTGGGTGACGGTTTTCGCCGCTCTTGTTGGGCAGAAACATTGGTTTTTGCATGTTTGTGCTGTGTTTTTGTACATTGCCGAGGCTTGACGTCTTTGCGCAAAAATGTAAAAAACCTCGCAAATAGCAGTGTTTTTGGCGACCATGTCGTTGAACACGTCGCAAATTGCGGTGTTTTTTTGACAGCCGGTTCAAAAACACTGTAAATAGCAGTGCTTTGGGCCACGGCAAGCTCAAAAACATCGCCACCTGCAGTGGTTTCTGCCTCACAAAGCATAAAAACACTGTAAAGTACGGTACATAGTGGGGCTTTCGGCAGCGTCAATGGCAACATGATGAACCCTGGTGATATGTGGCGATGAATGAAGATAGCGCATACTTCTGGAGTATTACCTTCTATGATCGTTGTTGCGTCATGCCATCACTCATCCGACTCGATATTGACTTGTAGGGGTTTTCTGATTTCGAGGCTGTGTGAGTGACAGTTTTCGCCCTTGTTGTTGGGCAACTGTTTCATGGCGGTGCGGGCGAACCTTGCCGCGGAGCGGCGTGAATACTCCATGGAACCAGTCACATG